GAGTTGCACAGCAGGATCCCTGTGTGTCCCTTCCAGCTCAGGATATTCTGGGAGATTCTAGCATGGAAACCCCCACTTCTACCCTGAGCTGTGCTCTGACACAGTGAGGAGATGTTGTTTAAAGTTTTACCTTGTAGAAAAATGAGGCCTCAGGAGCAGGATGTGAACTTTGCAGGGAGGGACCACCCTGTGCTAATGCTGGTTCTTAATGCTTCTGTTGGGTGATAAATATTCCTGATGGACCAAGGGGTTTTCTTTGGAGGCTTTGCTCCTGCCATGGGGGTAAAGATGTTGAAGGTCAGGGTTCAGATTCTGGGTTTATGGGCACCCTTTGCCTTACAGAGACTGAAATAGCAGCTTTTCATTCTGCCTGTCGTGGCTGAGAGCAGGTTGGCATTTGAATCTTAAAGGGTCACTGTTCTTGGCACAATTAAATCTGCTTTGAAGACAGATAACTCAGCCCAGCTTGACACGTTGGCCTGGACATTTGAAATGTGCTGCTCCCGTTCTGTTTCTGTTCCTTATTCCATAATTATGGTGTGTTAAACTGTGTGGGGCCTGCTTGGGCAGACCTTGTGCAGACACTGTGAAATTGAGTTTCTTACCTTCTCCCAGGAATGGCACTGAAGTGACATTTCCAGAGTCTTGTGGTTGAACCTCCCCCTGCCCATGGAGCCCAGGCTCCCAGAGAGTGGGGTGTGGGATTTGTGAACTAATCACTGCTTAATTGCTCTGTGTTGGTGCAAGAGAGTGTAAATGAGGTGTGGAACAAGGCAAAAACTCTGGGAGTGACAGCTGGGGTGGGAAAAGGTCTTGGAAGCTTTGGGGGAAGGGACAGGAGGATGGTCTGGTCCTCTGCCAAAGGTAGGGATGGCTTCAGGTGAGAAAAATTCCTCTTAAACAAGCAGAAAACAGCTGTGAGCAGGCTTTGCTGTGGATGAAGTTTTAGGTTTTTGGCCATTCTGGAAGCCAAAATGAGCTTGACTCCCTTTGAGGAAGCAGCAGGGAGGGGAGAACCTGGGACTGGGAGGTCCCTGAGGAGCACCTGGTGCTGGAAGCTGCTCATGAATTCCCTGTTACATCATCCTTGGTGGCCCCAAAGGTGTCCCTGCATCCCAGGATGGCCCGAATGCTCCTTTTTACTGACACACTTGTTTAATTCTTAATTCACAAGACATTTGCTTATTTATTCTCATTGTTCCTGATAATAATTCTAAACCATTAGAGGGGAAAATTGTATTCAGAAATGCTGTTTCACACTTTATTTGTTTGATGATTTAGAGCGATAGAAAATAGCACATTTACTGGCTTTTATAGTCTGATAATTATCCACATCCATCAAGCCCCATTCCAGGGGAATAAACAAAACACCAAGAAAATTACTCTATTAATGGTATCCTGTGATGGCAAATAGGACAGACCTCTCTTCTGTGTTTAGGATAGAGAGGGGACTGTCCAGTTAAACTCATGTTGGGAAGGAATTCCTCCCTGGCAGGGCGGGCAGGCCCTGGCACAGGGTGCCCAGAGCAGGTGTGGCTGCCCCTGGATCCCTGGCAGTGCCCAAGGCCAGGCTGGGCAGGGCTGGGAGCAGCCTGGGACAGTGGGAGGTGTCCCTGCCATGGCAGGGGTAGAAATGGATATTTAAGATCTCTTCCAAGCCAAACCATTTTGGGATTCCATGATTCCATATTAACAAAAGCAAGCCACCACTCCAGGAAGAAAATTTTCTAACTCATTTATAGCTTTGGGGCAAAACCTGTTGGACTTGTGATTCTGACTCAAGAACTCAGAAAATTGCATGGAAGTAGAGATCAGAAGTGCTGGAATTAGGTTTCAAGAAATAAGTTTGGAAGCTGAGAGAGTTTCCCACAGAACAGCAAGTTCTAGATGTGTACAAGTGGTACTTGATCCACTTCAGGGATTTTCTGTTGTTTTGGTGGAAAGTAGAAAAAGGTAATTTAAAAGGCTCACTATATTACTTTCAGGTTGTTGACTTGGGGGTAAGATGACATTTGAGTCTGAGAACTATAACTTTTTTTATCTCGAGCTGTTTTTTCTTTCCCCATTGTGTAAATCTCCTGCTCCCTGGCAGAGCAGCAGCACATTTTTCCTGCTGGAATCCCCAAACTGCTGAGTGGCAGAGTTTTGGGTGCAGCCTGGCCCTTTGTCTTGGTCACTCTGTGCAAGGCTGGAGGGAGGATTGCCTGCCCAGTGCCTTGGGGGTTTGATTTATCTCCCCCAGCTGCTGCTTTGGCTCTGTGGCCATCAGTGTCCCTTGTCCTGGGGCCAGGCTGGGCCAGAGGGGCACATCCAGCTCGGTGTTCCCAGCACTGGGGGCTCTTGGAGCCATGCCTGAAGAAAGGAAATCATTTGATGTTTTTTACCTGTGGAATGGAGGTTTTGCAGCTCAGCTGAGCTGAGCTGAGCTGAGCTGAGCTGTGGGGATGGTGCCCAGCTGAGCTGAGGGACACCAGGACTGCTGGGTCACCAGTGGCACCCAGAGCCAGCCCTTGCTGGGTGCTCATGGCTCAGTGACTGCACCCCTTGGACTGCAGCAATTTTTAATCTTTCCATTGCTGTTCTGCCTCGTAATCAATCATTTTGTGTGTAGATGGAGCTCAATCTGTGCCATACGTGCAGGAGCCTTCTGTTTCTCTTCCTGGTTTTAAATAGCAGCCCAAATTCTGTCTTTATTGCCTATCTTTATGTAAATCAGTCAGATTTGTGAGCATAACTTAAAGCAGAATTTGACCTACTTTTAATTCTCTTCTGCAGTTAATATTTTGAATTCCTAAGAATAAATGCAGAGGGATGTGTAGGCTCTGCTTCCTAAAGACTGGCCCAAAGAAAAAAGTTAATTTCTAAAATTGGAGTCAGCTATTACCATTCTGTGCTGGGGTATTTTGATTTGTATATTATTACATATAGTTCTTTTTTATAAGCTGGAAATTCCTCTTCTCTGGCTGGTTTCTATCCAAGCAAGTCTTTTTTCTTTGTCTCTCCATGGGCTGTTCTCTGAAGCCTCACTTGGCTTTTTGCAGGCTGCAGTTTCAGATAACACAATAACTGTGTTCCAATGTATTAAACTTTTAACATCCTCAAGATTCAATTAATCTTATCTTTACAACTCCCAATTACAGGCACTAATTAAGTGAAGGTTGCATTGTAGACTGGGGATATTACATTAATCATCAGCAGCCTTGTAGCCATAAATTAGTTCTTTCCCAATCCTTCAGCATTTTTCCCAGAAGGAATGGAATGTCTCATTTCCCTGTTTTAAGGGACATTAATCCCACAAAGGAGCTTTGGATCGGGATTAGTTTTATCACATTTATGTAAGTGATGAATGGTCTTTGTAAAATAAAAGCCACTAGCTTTGTCCCAGACAAATGAAATTGAATTGTTTGATAATTATGCAATTTAAGGCACTGTCAAACTTTGGTCAGGGAATGTTGGGAGTCCATTGCTGCATTTATTATTTTACAAGATTAGGTGCTACATAGTGTTTTACCTTAAATTTTTTCCAAGCCATCAGTTCAAATCAGCTTAGTGCCTAAAGCCTGGAGGCCCCTGGGTGGGATTTGTGTGCTGTCACCCCCTGCCAGGCCAGCCCAGGTGTGTTTGATTTCCTGGCACAGAAAATGCAGAATTTGTCTGGCTGAAACCCCCCAAATTCAGGTGCATTCTGAGCCCCCAGCCCGGGAGGGGCAGTGCTGGGCTCCTGTTGCTGAGTCCCCTCCTGCAATATCCTGATCCCAGCGTGGGATAATGAGAAGGATGGGTTTGACATCTTTACTGGAAATAGCAAAAATAATGCATTTTTTATTATTCACTTTGAAGAGAAGTTATAGCTGGCAATAAATGCCATTCCCACAGATGTAAATTCTCAGAATTCTCTGTCACAAGAAGCAGGGAGAGCTGTATTTAATTTGCTGCAGAATGTAACCAACGATTTACAAATTTCCATTGGCAATATTATTGTGTGTCATCATGTTAAACACGTTTAAATGTGTCCTGGTATTCAGTTCCCTTCTTATAACCTGAACACATAAATCTTTGTCACCTGGGCTTTGCTCCTGAGAATATTGTGAACCTCAAAGCACTAAGAGAACTAAGAGCTTTTGGGAAGAAAAAGCCATTTGAAACTTCCCTGGTGTTTGTACGTGCTGGGCACACCCAGCCCTGTGTCTGGGACCTGAGGGACACTTGATTGTTTTTCCAGAATTACATTCAATAATTTGCACTCCAAAAAAATTCCACTCAAATTCTTTTGCACTTTACTGACCCCAAATCTAAGAAAACTGTCTTTAGGAAGTGTAGAAGTTGTTCCCTACACCCTTTAATGATGTTTTCATCAGCAGACCCTGCATTTTCAGGGTCACCTCATAAAGAAAATTATTGAACACTTGAATTCCATTATTTCACATCAGACAATAAAATCCAGCGGGGCATCAGGATTGAGCTATGAGTGCTTGAGCTGTGCTGAAGAATATTTACTTTTTTGAATAAAATGAAAGCTGTTTGCACAGAAGAAGGTTTATTCTTTTCCAAAGCACACAGACCCTCCTTCACACCTTTTCAGCCCATCTGTTTCTTGCTTATTAATATTTAGCACAGTTTTATTTTGCAGCTATTTTCCCCACGGAGAACACACCTGCTGTTCCCTGCACTCAGTTATTTCTGGGGTTTCCAGTGCTGTATCATCACTTTGTCTTCTCCATTTCCCTTCTACCTGGTGAAATCTTGTGGTGCTGTTTGAGAAAATGCCAGGAAAACCCACACTTCATGTAACATGTCTGAGGACTGTTATTAAATGCTGATTTTCCCATGGATTGTGTGTTACTGATGCCTTTCAGACATACAGAATGTTGGTTTCATTGCCAGCCATTGTGTGCTGTGCTGAGGGTTGTTGCCCCTCTTGTTCCTAGCCTTTTCCCCTCACTGTTTTTCCACCAAAAATTGATATTTTGCTTTCTGTCTGTTCTGTTCCCTCCTGCCAGGTATGCCATTCCCCCGGAGCACGGCAAGAGGCTGGAACGCCTGGCAAAAGGTGAGCCCTGGCTCTGGGCTGGGCTCAGGAAGGACTGGCACCAACTGAGCCTGCTGGGCTGCTTGAGGAACCTGCTGGGCTGGGGAGCAGCTTCAGAGCCAGAGAACTTGTCAGGGAATTTCTCTTCCACCTCTTCCCTCCAAGCCCCAGGCTCCTGGCACGGCCTGACCTGAACTAAACTGAACTAAACCTGACCTGAACTAAGATTCCTTAAAAAAAAACTTGGATTTTGAGGCATTGAGGCCAAACCCTCCCAGCTCTGGGCAATGGGTTTAATCCACAAGGGTTTGGGTTGGAAAGGACCCTAAAAATCCTTTCACTGCACCCTGCCAGGGGAAGGGGCACCTTGCACTGGACCAGGAATGCTGCCAGGGATGGGGCAGCCACAGCCTGTTCCAGTGTCTCACCACCTCACAACTGACATTTTCTGGCTGATATTGAACCTAAATTTCCCCTCTTCCTGTTTGTAGCCATTGCTCCTTTACCCTATAAATACACTCTGTATTTGGTGGTTTTCTTTTTATTTTAACCTCACCCTCCTTTATTTTTCAGTGCCATAAAGTTCATATTAAAAAGAGAGAAAAAATGAAAGGGAGGGAAAAATAAAAGGAAGATGGAAGTGGGGGGAAGGGAGAGTTACTTTGAGCTGTGGCAAACTCCCACCACTCAAGCTTCAGGGAAGATGTCTGGCTGCAGAAGTGGATATCTTTTAATTTGTTGGTGTTGTTTCTATTTTTGTTCACTTGCAAATGTTCAAGGAGCTGCCCAGCTAAAAAAAACTGCTGGCCCAGAATAATTAGCTCCAAATCTCTGTGGTTTATCTCCAGTGAGGCAAGTGGGGTGGTTTAAATCTGGTGGTGGAGGTAGGAGCAGGCAGGAAATCTGGAAAGTTCTGCTCTGATGCAAAAGAAAAGAACTTCTAATGCTGATTTCCCAGAAAACAGGAAAATTCCTGTACTGCCTTTCCCTGCTCAGCACACTCCAGAGTGTTGAGGGGAGCAGCTGATTGTGTGGGGTAAATGCAGAATAAGTGGGGATGAGTGTCCTGGGGCTTGGTTCTCCTGGGCACTGAGCTCCATGATCCCTAAATACAAATATCACTGGAAATGGCTGCTCAAAAATGTTGCATTTCAAAGCTACAGCTCAGTAATTTGCCAGGCTTTAATAGATGAAAAAAGTAATTTTTATAAGAAGTCAATCAATCAGATGACTTGTGTTCTGCAGACTCTGAAATACCACTCCAAGTCTGACAGGAGCAATAATAAGTTTCTTGCTGTTTGTAACTAATTTTTACGGATGATCAATTTTGAGGCACAGAGATGGTTTGTGCTGTAAAACCAGGAGCAAATTATCAATGATCTGGTCTTTATTTTAGTTTCCTGTCTCTTGAAGCTGGGTGGGTGATGATTTAACTCTGCAAAGAGCCAAAATTGCTGCCTGGCCATTCCCCTGTCCTGTGCATCAGTGGGGAGAAGTTTACCATGGAGAAATGAGTGTGCAATTAATATGGAAAATGAATAGCTGAGCTGTAAATGGGCTCACTGGGAGAGCCATGGAGCCCATGGAGAGAATGTTAATGTGTTGCCATGTTATTGGTGCTAATCACTTAAAATGTGCTTCTTTATTAGTGGCTTTAATGAGAGCCACTTAAACTGTGCATTAAAAAGAGGAACTGCAGAGAGGGACGACAGGCTGGGTAGCAGACAGTCATAATTTGAATTGAAATGCTTTTAGTACAAAAATATAAGTAAACCTGGAATCCAGTAATCCTTTTGACTTTCTGAAACCCCTTCCATTATGTCTCATCAATTAGTTTTGGTTCCAGAGCTTGGGTTATTTGTTTTCCTGAGCTGTGATGGGTTTGAGTCCCTACAAACACACAATTTGTTATGGAATCAGCCACTTGGAGGGAAAGGCATGATCATGAGGAAAATTGGGTTCCATTGGCCGAGCTGCCTTTGAGGGGTTTGGGCAGTGTTTATCACCGTTTTAGTTTTCTTAATGATTTGTGGTTTGTTTTAATAACTCAGTGGCAGAATTTAACACTTAGGGGTGTTGAGGTGCTGACTGGGTCAGGTCCTGCTGCCTCTGCCACTTGTTGGTGCCCACTGTGAACGTGTCCCTCGTGCCACTGCCTGGGATGGACACCTTTCCTTTCCCTCAGTGTTACCATTTTTTTCCTTTAGGCAGTGGTGTGTAGGGCAGATTGATGTGGAGTCTAGCAGATTGTATTGTTCTCAAGGACAGTCCTGTAGTGATGCTCCTCCTCTGAATGTCTCCACAGGATTTTTCCCAGGAAGCTCTCAGGGATGTGATGCTTTCCTCCGTCACAAGATGACCCTCATTTCTCCCTCCATCCTGAAGAAGTATGGGATTCCCTTTGACAGGGTAGGTCCTGCAGGCTGTCCCTGCACAGCTCCTCTCTCCTGAGGAGCCAATCCACCAGAGCCACGGGGGAAATTGGCTTCATTTCCAAGGCATCGTTGTGCTGAGTTCAAACCTGGGGTTCAAACCAGCTCTGCTGCAAAAGGAGGGCTTGGGCTTTGCCTGGGGCACTGGAGAGGAGAAAAGCTGTCACTGAACAAGCTCTGGCAATTTGGGAACCTCTCAGGTAGAGAGGCATGAGCTGATAAGGATGTTCTGGCTCATCAAGGGGCAGCAAAACCCTGCTGGTGATTCAGAAACATTTTTTATTTTCTCATGGATCCAGTGTGACCCAGAGTGGAGCTGGCTGTGCTGGTTCCCTGTTGTGTAAGTGTTCATGCTGCTCTAAGCCTGGAAGGATCCCTGCAGCTCTTAAGCCCTGATTTGAAAAGAGGGGTCATGTTTATTTGGTATGATCGTTTTAATGTGCTTATTCTTAAAGTCTTGTGGCAAGAAGTAAATCTCCTCAGCCAGGGGTGGTTACAGGGATTTGTATCTGTGCAGAATCACTCAAACTGCTGCTGCTGCTGAGCTCCAGCACACAGAGCCAGAGCTGCCTGTGGATGTGGGAAGTGTCAGAGGCCTGCTCCAAAATGGTTTCATGGAATCATGGAGTGGGAAGGGACCTTCAATCCCCAACAGTCCCACCCCTGCCATGGGCAGGGACACCTTCCACTGTCCCAAACTCCAAACCCTGTCCTGAAGCAGTGGCTGTTGGAGGAGGATCACTGTTATTCACAAACAGGGGACAAGTGCCATTTTTCCTGAGGAGCAGAGATAGGATCCCTTCATCCAAATCCTTGGCAGATTTCAATGAAGTTGAAATAGGCAGCATTTATAAATCTCTATAATGCTGTTCTGGAAAAAAAAAGAAACAGATCAATACTAGGGCTTTTTAATAATTAAAAATGTGTATTTCTGTAATCTCCTATTGATTTCTCCATTTATTCCTCAAGAGCTTGCAGAAGTCAGTAAATTTGGGGCTTTCTTCATGAGTGGCAGTTTGTGCTGGCTTTCCTTCAATAGTTATTACTTTTCTGCATGGCCTATCCATCATCTGGAGTGTTTTCTAATTTATTGTGGGATAATGTTGACAGCAGTGCCATGGATGATGTGGGCTTGAAATGGAGACACCAGGATGTGCATTCACTGACAGAAACATCATCTCTTCATCTCTGGAGCCAGCACTGCTGGGGTTTGTGGAGGGGATGATGCAGGCTGCTCCAGGGGCTGGCTGCAGCTGGACTTCAGCACCTCCTGCTGAAATCCTGCACAAGCTTCTTGTGTATCACAAGCTTTTATTCCCTCTTTCTTCAATTATTCTTCTAGTGTTAATGACATCGGCAAGTTCAGAGGGAGGGAGGGAGAAGTGTTTGAACTTCTGTGTGTTTACATTTTGCATTTGGCCCCATCCCTGTGTTTGGAAGTGCAGTGCCCTGGAGTCTCTGTGGGCTCAGAGCTGCTGGGGTGTGGGCTGTGGCTGTGGGAAGGAATCCAAGCAGAATTCTTGGCCTGTGACAGCTGTGAGAGCTCTGTCAGCACTGCTGGAAGGACAGGGAAGGTCAAGCTTTGCCTCTTCCATACCCTGTGGAGGGGAGGAGCTGCTGCATGAGGGGCAGCTGGGCTGGGAGCTGCTCCTGTGGTTCAGGCCATGCTCTTAACAATTAAACTTCTTTTTTTCCCAATGGTTTTTCTGGTCAAGATATGAAAAGGGTTGTTTTTTTTTTAAGCATCAAGATTGATTTGCCTCTGGTTCTAGCTGTGATCTGTAGAGTTCAACCCTTATTAATAATGCCCATAATGCTTATTGTTACTTTAATTTCATTAAAGTCGAGTCACAGGGTGGTTTCTGGTGAAGGGGACATTAAAGCTCATCCTGTGCCACCCCTGCCATGCAGAGGGACTGTTAGGAGGGAAATCCAGAGCTCTTGGGGGTGGGAATGAAGGTTTGGAGCTGCCACGAGCCAAAGTGGTCACATCAGAGATTTATTGATCTTTTGGAATGTTGCAGCCTGAGACCCCTTTGTAACTGGAGCAGGTATAAATAGTTCAGTTATGTGACCCCTTCCCATCCACTGTTCTGAGTTTTTCCCTTAAGAGAAATCCTTGAGTATCCCTGCAGTTCACCAGGAATGTTCCAGCTCAGCCCAGAGCTGCCCATGGCTGCTCTGCCTCCAGTGGGAAGGGATTTCATCAGTGGGGTTTTTAATGAGTCTTTATTCTCAAGCTGCTGCATTAAGTGACCTGTGGGGTGTCTCCTCCTTTTTGCTGTGGTTTCAGATCACCCAGGAGGCCGGGGAGTTCATGATCACATTTCCCTATGGGTACCACGCTGGCTTCAATCACGGCTTCAACTGCGCCGAGTCCACCAACTTCGCCACCCTGCGCTGGATCGACTACGGCAAGATGGCAACACAGGTGGGCAGGGGCTGGGCAGCTCCTGGGGCACCCAGCAGTGCCCCTCGGCTGTCCTTGTGCCTGAGGAGAGCATGGAAGATGCCTGAGGAGAGCACGGAAAATGCCTCTGCTCTGGGAGGTGCTCTCTCACTGTCCCACGTCGCTGGTTTTGCCTCTCGATAATTTGTTTTCACAGAATTCACAGAGTTCACAGAGTTCACAGAGTTCACAGAGTTCACAGAATTCACAGAGTTCACAGAACTCACAGAATCACTGGGTTGGAAGAGACCCTAAAGGTCATTGAGTCCAACCCAGCCCCAACAGCCCAACTGAGCCCTGGCACCCAGTGCCACATGCAGGCTTTGTTAAACACCCCCAGGGATGGTGACTGCGCCACCTCCCCAGGAAAACCATTCCAATACTTTAGCATTCTTTCCATAAAACACTTTTTCCCAATATCCAACCTATATTTCCCTTCGTGTAGCTTGAGGCTGTGTCCTCTGGTTCTGTCAGTTCCTGGAGAAAGAGCCCAGCCCCAGCTGAGCACAGCCACCTTTCAGGAGCTGCAGAGTGCTCAGGTCACTCTGAGTCTGCTTTTCTCCAGGCTGAGCACCCCCAGCTCCATTTTATTCTGAGGGTGCAGGAATGGCTTTCTCAAGTGTTGCATTCAGGTTCTGAACAGGTTGTTTTGGTAATGGTAAGTTGGAATTAGTTTTCTGGTGCATCCAAACTGCATTTCACAGTGAATAAGGTGACTGATGTGACTGAGCACAACTCATTAGGTACACACTGGAGGGGAAGGAATAAGCTGGAAATACTTTTAAGCTTTAATAACACTATGGTAATAACACTGAAAATACCTGAATTCCTCTAATCTGTGCACTCAGTTAAGTTTGGAGAGTTCTGTTTGTCTGGTTATTTCTCGTTAGGGCAGATTCCTGGTGTACTTTGGTTTGTGGCAGCACTCCTGGTTTGAAGTCTGCAGAATAACTGACCAGCAAAGCTCATTCAGTAGAATCTGGGAAGTTTTGCCTTGGGCAGGGACACCTTCCACCATCCCAGGTTGCTCCAAGCCCTGTCCAGCCTGGCCTTGGACACTTCCAGGGATGGGTCAGACATTTGGATTTGTTCTGGAGTTAAAGGGATGGTAAGAAAAACCTTAAACTGCAAGAGACCTCAAATCAGTGTCAGGTGTCTGAAGCTCAAAAATAGCCAAGCAGTCTTGGTTTAAAAATGTAAAAAGTGGTGTTTGTCTGCTGTGACCTTGTAAAGCAGGTGTATGTGTAGTGAGTGGTCATGGTATTACACCCCAGAAAATGGGGTTTATCATGGAAATTCAGACAGCCCTTAACTACAACAGAGCCAGCAGGCACCACTCGAATATTAAAAGCAATTTTGGGTTCAGCCATGTGTTCACAAACAAGTGACATTTGGGAAGTGCAGTTTTAGATGGAGCCTCCATGCTTACATTGTTAGGCAGCGTAGCGTGAAATTACTGAACAAGCAGCAGCAGAGCAGGAGCAGATCTGGGGACACAAAGTGGAAGTGTGGAAGGAGATGCCCAATTTATTCCCATTGCACTCCGTGGCACTTGTCTGTTCTGAGCCTCCTGGTTAATTCTGCTCCAAACCAGGTGTTAATTAACCTGGGGTGCCTGGCTGGGGTCCCAGCTGAGGGGGGAGTTTGTTACACTCTGAGGGCAAAGCTTTGTTTAAATCTCATTTTGAGGTTAAGCAGGGACCTAAGGAGTGATCAGGGTGTGCACTGGGAGCTGCCTGCACCTCTGTGGGGAGAGAATTCCTGGAGAGACATCAGGAGGAAATTCCTGCCTGGCGGGGTGGGCAGCCCTGGCACAGGGTGCCCAGAGCAGCTGGGGCTGCCCCTGGATCCCTGGCAGTGCCCAGAGCCAGGCTGGGCATTCCAGGCAGTGGAAGGAGTCCCTGCCATGGCAGGGGTGGGGTGGGATGAGATTTAAGGTCCCTCCCAACCCACACCACTCCTGAGTATGTGATTTTTAGTTAACTGCAACAGCTTTCCTGTATTTCAAAACTGGCTTCATTGATTTATGTGCTCCCAGGCACAATTAGATTATCCTTGCTCACATGCAGGCAGGTTTGGGGTTTTTTTTTCTTACCATATACTCATTTATAGAAGTTCTTGGGAAGTCTGAACTGGACAAAGCTCTGCAGGCCCTGCTGCTCCTGCAGTGACCCAGCTGCCTGGGGGTGATTCCCTCCTTTCCTTGGGCTGCCAGCACAGCTCTCTTGTCCTGCCTGCCCTCAGGAGAATGGGGACAAGGCCAGGTTCATAATTAGCCAGTTGTAATGCTCTCCTGGACATTTTCCTGGGGAGGAGATGTGGGTTCTGCTGGGAGCTGTGTGTCAGTGCTGCAGTGCAGGAGAGGAAGGTAATGGTTCACCTCGGAGAGCAGAGCTGTGCTAATTGCCTGCCAGATGGGTGCAATGTTCTGCATCCCACAGAGAACCTGCCTGGCTTGTAAAAAACACAGAATAACCAGCCTGGGGTGTAAAGATCAGCTGCTGAGACACTGGTCCTGCTCTAATTGTAGAACAAGTGTCAGGATTAGCAAAAAAAAAAAAAAAAAATAGCAATGGCTGCAGTGTAGTGTGGGAAACTATCAGTGGGTAAATCCACTTGTATATGTAAATGAGTAACCAGAATGGGCAGATCCTCAGAAATTCCAGTGGAAATTGGTTTGGTGAATACCAAGTGAATAATCTGAGCTGTCCTGCTTGGTTCAAAGCTTTTTGGGAACGTGGAGTCTTTCTCTCCTTGGGTTTTTAGCTAAGAACAGGTGCTTTTGCCCCTTGGGTCTGATTTGCTCATCCTCCTGCTAATTGCTCCTCCAGCCCCAGTGCTGGGTGTGGTCTGTGTCAGACAAATTCCACAAATTGTGTTTTGTGATGTGCAGAAATCTTCAGGGCTGCTTCTCTGTGCTCTGAGCCAGGGTCAGGTCCAGAGGAAGGGTCTGGATCCTTCCCAGCCTTGAGGGTGCTCCAGAGGGAGGTGGGTGTCCCCATCCAGCTGGACAGTGGCCCAGAAGAAAGAACAGCTTTTAGCTGCTCTGCCATGTGTTGCTGATGTCCACATCGCCCTGTGGCCTGGAGGAGCCAGGGTGAGCTGAGGCCAGCCCCAGCTTCCCTCTTGCAGCTGATCCTGGGGTGAAGCTGAGCAGATCTTGTTCAGGATGGCAGAGAGCTGCAGCTGATCCTGGGGCTGCCAGGGATGATGCATGTGCCCTCCCCAGCCCTGCCAGGGGTTCTTGCAGCATCCCAGAGCTTTGGGAAAGCTCCTTGGGAGCTGCAGTCCTGTTGGGTGTCACTGGCACAGTGCTCAGCAAAAGGAGACCCAGAGCAAGGAGCTCAGAGGGGTTTGCACAGCCTTGGAGATCCTGGCACAATGTTTCAGAGTCAGCTGTAATCCAAATATTTGCTTTGGACTTCAGCATTCCTGATTCAGCTGAGGAGGGATGGGTTTATTTGTGTATGCTACAGTTAATGTTTGCCTGCATAGGCAGAGCTTAGGAATTAGGGAGAAATATTTCCCTTTGTTCCCTGTAGCTGGAGTTCCTCAGTCATTTGTCTTCCATTTGTCAAATTTTTTTTTCTGTTTGGTTGTTGAAAAAAACTGCTGAGTGAAAGGCAGGAAATTATAATTTTCATTCCTTACCATCTTTTTTTATTAAATTTCTTTTTATTTTGCACCATGAGCCTGCAGTTCCTGCCTGCACTCCTTGTGCAGGTTTTTTGTTTCTGGAAACCCTTGGATGCCAGCACCAGAGGATTTTAGCAGCTTTGGGGTCTTTAAAAGGGTTCTTTGCCCAAAGAACCCTTTTAAACCAGGGGCTTCAGGAAATGCCCTCCCTGTAGCTGAGGTGGCCTGTGAGCCTGCTGCTATTCAGAGACCCTTTCAGAGTGCAGAGATTTAGCAGAAATTCAAATCCCAGCTCAGCTTTTCTATTTCTTTGGCAAACTGGACTGAACATAAGTGGATGGGAGTGGAACAATTTCTGCACTTTCTCTTCAGTTAAGTGCAGCCACTCCTGGAGAAGGTCTGGGTTCCTGCTGGCTGCCACTTTCCTACCTTCCTTTATCTCCTGTTTACTCCACAAACACTGCTGGAATTCTCTCTCTCAGCATAAAACGGGGTCAGGCTGCCCCTCCTGCCCAAGTCCTGCATTTTGGGCTGTGAAATCAAACAGCTTTCCCCTCATCCAGGCAGTGCTGCCATCACAGCCTCCCTGCAGAGCAGCCCTGCCTGCTGCTCTCCTCTGGGGAGGGGCACAAGGAAAATTCTTCCTTTGGTTTTCCTCTCTGCCAAGAGAAGGAACCTTTTGGATGCCAGCCTGGGATCCTCTCCATGGCTTCCTGCTTCCAAACCTTCTGCTCACTCTTTGTTCTGTACTGTATATATAATATAGATGTAATTTCCATTTTACACTTGGAATATCTGTGATTTAATGTTGTCTAGCATATAATTTTCCAGCTATAATTGAAGCTTTCTTCTTACTATTCACATTTTAGTAGATTTTTTTCCCCCTTCAATATGTCTGTATTTCCCAAGAAAATAAAACTTGTGAGGTTTTTGCAGAAACCTGTTTGGTAATACTGCAAAATTGGTCCCCAAAATAAGGCAAATCAGAGCTGTATTTTTGCATTACTTTGTGTCTATGCCTCAACTGACTCTAATTAGACCTTTTTAAGCTTAGAACACATAAAAAAATCTATTATGAAATAGCATTTCCATAGTTTATTTTTGTCAGACATTCAAAATTGCTCTTTTACTCTAATTAGACCTTTTAAGCTTAGAATACATTAAAGAAATCTATTATGGAATAACATTTCCATGGTTTATTTTCGTCAGACAGATTCAAAATTGCTCTTGTACAAATTCTTCCACCTTTCTTCATACTTATTTTCTTGTAATATTTGTAAACACCCCTAATGCTCTTGATTCTGTGCAAGAAAAAGGAACTTTTGCAGCTTTTTTTTGTGCTGAGGCGGAAAGGGAATGGTTATTTTTTGGAAATCTCTGGAAGCTTTGTTTTATCAGCTCTTTTCCGAGCTCCTCTCCTGAAGTTTTGGCTGGGAGGTTCTGGGCACGATTTTTGTTAATGAAAAACAATCAAGAAGGGGTTCTGTGAGCAGAATGAACCCCTGGATTTGCCGGGGTTTGCAGCTTCCAGTGCTGGGGGTGCTGCTGGCTGGGGTGGCTGAATGTCCCTTGGGAGGGGGGGATCAGTGCCACCAGGTCCTTTTGCTGCTGGCCTGGGTTATTTATTCATTTTTGTGTTTTTTACCCCAGCCGAGGCTGTGCTGCAGGGAGGGGGCTCTGCCAGGGGTGCCCAGGGAGCTTTGGGGCAGGGCCAGGGGGACTCCATGGGAATCTTCCCTAATTGTTTTGTTTGTGAAGCTCTGCGAAGGGTTTCCAGGGGGTTTGCTAATGAGCTGCTTTGTTGTTGATACCGGTAATTACTCTGCAAACGGGGGGTCAAGGCTCATCTTCCTCCCCACCAGCTTCCAACCAGCAGCCATTAAACACACAAACTGTGCAGTTGGGGCTTCTCCTCCTCATTTTCTCACAGAATTGCTGCCATTCATCTTTCAGGAGCCTGCTTGGACTGGCTGAGTGCAAGGAGAAGGAACCTGGAGCCCCAAACTGGTTTTTTTCTGTGCTATAGCACACCTGTGATATGGGAACAAACTGGATTGCTGCTGGCTGAAGCCCTGATGGTACTGGGGGTTTGTTTTTCCCCAAAGCTGAAACTCTGCTTTGTGCTGGGAGTGCCCAGGGAGGAGCTGAGCTCTTTTCTGTGCTCCTGAACAGCCAGAGTTCCTCTGCTGCCGTGTCCCAGAACCACCCCTCCTTCCCAGGAACTTGCTTTTGGCTTCATTTTTATGAAAAAAAGCAGGTAGAAAGGCTTTAAGCAAAGATTTTGGTGTGGCATTTAAAAGCTGAAAGAGCTTCAATTACGAGCATGTTGGGTTTTGTGATGGATGAATTTCCAAAGTGGGAGGCTCAGCTGAGTCTTACCAACTGCTTTCATCTGAATATGAAGGGTTTTGTCCATGAAAACCAGCAGTGCCTCTTTAAATATGTAATTTTGGTGACTATTTCTGCATAAGGAAAAGCTTTATTTTCCATTAGCCTTTCCTGTGTGGTGGAACTGCTGAGGTTCAGTTCAGTGTTAATATTTGGGAATTGAGGGAAATATCCTCACTAAACTGTTGCTGAAGGTTGAAGTTGAATGAGTCTGCACTTTTCCATAAATCATTTGATTTTATGACTTCAAGGAGACAGTCGTTTTATTTGACTGTGATTTTATAGAGACTTATTTGTGTTTTTATGTTAAAAAATATTGCAAATAAGATAATGGTTGTACATTCCATAGCCACAAATTCCCCCCTATCAGTCTTGGAGTTGGAATTGATAGGACAGGGCTCCTGGTGTGGTCACATATTTTACCACAGGCTCCAAATTAGAGTTGCAGATAATAAAATAATGAGGAAAGGAAGAATGTTGGGGTTTTAGGCTGGAAAAAGGTTTAATTGTGCATTTCCTTACAGTATTTTTCCATGTGCTTATAGTTAATAAAGCCATTAACTTATGGAAAAGGAGAGGTGAGGCTGGGAAAAGCCTTCAGAAGGTGGAATAAGTGAAGTTCTGCAGATTTGGTGAATGTGGAAACTCCTCTCCTGTTGCTCTTTTGGGTCTCAGCTCCCCTGTAACCGAAGGCACAGAACTGACCCTAAAGCTGTGGATTTTTGGGTTGGTTTTTTCCCACTCCCATTTTCAGGACTTGCAGTGGGTCCTTGGAGGTGCCAGTGATGAATATTCTGTTTGTTCTGTTGTTTGATCTGTGGCTCCCTGGGGTGGGTCTGGCCAGACTGGGAGTGATGGAGGGAGAGGGGAAGGGCTCCGTGGGATCTCAGGGTTCCTGGGATTCCTCACCTGCCACTTGGACAAAATGTTTGTGTTGCCATTCAGTCCTGTGCTTTGGGTGATCACAGCACCCTGAAATCCTTCTCAGGGCTGGTGATCCATAGGAATTCTGTGAATTCCCAAACTGGAGCTGTGTGGTTCAGTTTTGTCTCATGTAAGGGAAATGAGGTTTCAGATCTCTCCTTACTGGTGGTGTTTGAGTGTTGACATGATAATTTTAATTTTTTTTTCTATAAAGTTTAATAATAGTGGAATATAAAAGTGTTAGAATTGGAGGGAATTTGGGAGGATATATTCTGCAGAAATTGGGGTAGGGAGGGACAGAGATGGGGGCTGTAGGCATAATGTCTTTTAGGAAATACATGTGTTTGTGACCACAGTGAAACACTTTGAAAGAAATGCAGCTCTGTGTATGTGGAAGGGGGAAGGCAGGGTGTGGGACTGGAGCTCATTTTCAGGAAACAACCTTGCTGCTTTTGTCCTGCTGGCATGGAGCAGAGCAGGGAATTGATTGCAAAGGCAGTTCCTCACCCTTCTCCACCCTCACTCTCCTCCATCCTCCCTCTCCAACTCTCTCTCACACACAAGAACATTCCCTTTTCCAGCTGTTGGAAGCATCAGCAGGATCCCACTGCTGTCTGAAGGAAGGGTATGGAAAAATATCCTGGCCTTGCTGGGAGTGTGGCTGTGACACAACTGCAGCAGCTGAGGAAACAGCACTGCACGGTCAGAAGGAGCCCCAGAGGAAAGGGGCTTTGTAAATTATTCATGCTGGCTGCTGTGAAAGCAATAGAATTAAATTAAAATTGAAATATAAACATGCATCATGCTAGATTTGTGGACAAAAAAGGAGCTTGGCTGCTGTGGGATGTGGAGGCCACAGTGCCAGTGCTGAGTCCAGCCCAGCAGCATCCTGGGGCTCAGCCTGGGCTTCTGCACCTGGGGGAAGCTTCTTCTGCACCTGGGGGAGCCTCTGGAGCTGCTGGTGGCTGGAAACTGCTCTGGAGACCTCTGGCCCTGAGTGCCTCGGGCTGTGCTGGCAGATTTGAGGGTGTGGGGGTGTCTGCTGCACCTCTTGTGTCCAGGTCAGGATCACCAAAGGCAGAGCTCCCCTCTGAAGCCATTTTTCAGCCCCTGGGGAGGTCAATCCCCAGAGCTGTGCTGGGGATGCTCTTCTGTGCTCCTCTTTGTAGCTCTGCCCAGGTGCTTTTAAACTTTCTTAAGGAAAATCTGCTCAGTCCCTCAGGCCAGGGCTGGTGGAGGTGCCGTGGGAAGCTCCTGCCTGGGCTGGGGTTGGAAGCTTGGGTGCCATCTGTGTTCCTGCCTTGCTGTGGCCAAATTGCATTCCCAGCCTTTCTGGCCTCAGCTGCTTTTCATTAAATGGAGTTTTCCTGAAAGTGCCTGTCCATAAATGCTCCTTCCCACTCAGCACACTGGGGTTGCCAGCACTGCCCCAGCCCCTGCACAGTGAGAAAGAGGAGCTGCAGGATGTGGGGTGGTGGAGAACTGTACAGAAGGACTCCTCTCTCTGCCCCTGTCAGTGAATTCTCAACTATGGCTATAAATTATTTAGTGATGGTGGTGAAAAGAGAAAGGGGAGAAGGTTTAATTTCAGGCACTTCTGCAAAAAAATGGATAGAATGGTTTTGAAAAGGTGTGAAGGAAGGGTGGGAAAAAACCCAAACCAGTCCTGCAAAATGGCTCCAATTACCTCAGCCTCAGCTTGGAGTTGGAAAGCAATTTAGTGCAAGCAAAGCTTTGGACCTGAGAGCAGAGCCCCCAAGAGAGCTGTGGCTGCAGCCCCCAGAGGCACCTGGGGGGTTCCTGGGTCCTTTTCCATCCTCTGCCTTCTTCTGATGAAGTTTAGAAAGGCTGACTCTTTGAGACTGACATCAGTGCCCAGGGTGAGAATGCTCTTGCTGCACTCAGTGTGTTGATTCCTCAGAGCAAAGGGATACATCCAAGGAAAGCCACCTGTGAGTCCTCTCTGTGCAATGGCAGGGGTGTAACTCCAGGTTAGTTTTAATGAGCATATGCCAGTTGAAATGAATAAAGCACATTTTCTCCCACGTAATGGTTTGGATGCAGGTTGTAGTTACTGCAGGGTTTTTATTTCTTCCCTTTTGTGCAGGATTGCTGTGCCATGTCAGGATGTATCATTATGAAGTTTAACTGCCCTGTGCTCTGGGTCAGACTTTGGTTCCTGTAAGGCTTTTCTGAGTTATGAAGTGGTACCAATAATACCTTTTCAGCCTGGAAAACTCTGCCAGAGAGTGGCTGATGGAGGGAAATGGGTTTGAGGGCAGACTCTGACCTGGGCTGGACCAGACAGAGTAATTGTGTCTGATGCCTGCAGCACAGCACTCGAGCAGTGCCAGTCCCAGGAGCCTTTGTCTTGTTGGGGGGCTTAGAGGGAGAACAGAATCCTTGGGGAAGACTTTTGCAGTGGCCTTGGAGAGCGCTGCAGTGGCAGCTGGTTCCCAGGAGCAGCAGAGCCGAGGCATTGCCAGCCCTGCCCCTTCCCAGAAGCTTTCTGCAGGCCGAGTGGGGAGAGCAGCTTTCCTGGGTGACCTGGTGCCTCTCTTGCAGTGCACGTGCCGCAAGGACATGGTGAAGATCTCCATGGACGTGTTTGTCAGGGTGCTGCAGCCCGAGCGCTACGAGCTCTGGAAGCAGGGCAAGGACATCGCTGTGCTGGACCACATGAAGCCCACGGCCCTGAGCAGCCCCGAGCTCGACGCCTGGAACGAGACCAAGGCAGAGCTGAAGGCAAAGCTGCTCCGGAGGTAAACACAGAGAGGGTGTGAGCCCGCCCTGGAGTTTAACTGCTGGGTTGTAAATGCTGCCCTTCTCCACATTCTCTGTAGTTCTCACTCTTTTCTTTTCTTCCTTTGCTCTTTTCACACAGTTCCTCGTGCTGTTTGTCTGGGGTAGTGTGTCCATCGTGGTCCTGTTTCCTTCCCATGTTATAAAAGCACATGTTTTTCAAAGTGGGACACTTTGTGCTCCCTCAAATCTCATCTCTTATCCTGGAAGACAAAAAATATCTGTAGTGAACATTTAGAGCTTCACTGATCAGAAAGCAAGAGTTTAAAAAAGCCCAGCAGTTGCAAAGGGGATTTTATGCATGCCTTTCTGTGCTTCCTTTGATCTTTGTATTAATTTTCTACAAGTCTGTGATTTTTGTGTGTTACAGCATGCTTGAATTGAAAATTTGGCATGCTAACCTTTTCCTGTTGGAATCTTGCTTTATAGGATAGGAGATGAGGAAGAGGACAGCAAACACCGGTATGTGACTTCCCTCAGCATCATCAATCCCTTCATTCTTTTTCCTGGCAAGTTTCTTAAATAGCAGCTCTGGGACTCTTCCTCAATCACTGAGTTTTTTGTGAAAGCCCCCAGGAAATCTTCATGCCTTGAGGTTGCTCAGGTTTCATCTTGGTTTGGATTTCTGTGATCTCCATCACTGGAGAACCTCACCTGTCTCATGGCTCTTGTGGTTTTCCCCGTTGAGCTGCTCTGCTGGGCTGGCAGGGGTGTGTGCTGTACCTGGGGCTGGGGACAGGGAGCTGGTCACCTCTGGGAGTGCTGCTGCAGTTTTGTGGCTCTGCAGGGTTCCTGCTGGAGCTGATGTGTGCAGTGTAAGGTACTGTAGGAGCACCAAGGATTATTTTCCCTCCCTGAGCCTATTACCCAGCAGAGAAGCCTCTCTCTCAGCCTGAGCCTATTGCAAAAGATCCAGGTACTTTTTTTGCTTATCTGTTCAGCGTTTCCTGGATTATTCCAGCATTATCCTGGAGCAGTTTTGAAGCTGTTCAATACTCCTTAGCTGTACTTTCTCCTGTGCTTATGTCTTTCCAAGACATCATTTTACTTGAAGCCTGACTTTTCTCAGCAGGATGGAGGGATGGGATTCACCTCTGCCCAAACCTTCACAGTTGTAGCTACTTAATTTAAGTCACTTTGTGCTCTGTTCTTCAAAGAGTACAAACGCTGCTTTTTTGTCAGCTCTCTTGGAAAAAATGGAGCTTTTCAACTCTGCAGAGAGGTGTTATTTCTTCTCTAAGGTCAGTCAGACTTGGTTACCTTAAAAAACCCAACTTTGTTTACTTTATGGCTTCAGCAAGAGACTGTTTTAGTCCAGTCCCCATTTCATTTCTGGTGTGTGAGTTCTGTCAGACACAGAACAGCTTCACTTCTGGAAGTGCTCAGCCTTCAGCCTGTAGTTCTGGAAGCACTTTCCTTAAATGCTGAGCTTTCTGCCTCTCTCCCCCACAACCCCTGAGTGAGAAGAGCACTGCAAAACAGATCTTTTTTTTTCTCTCCTGTGAGTATAAAACTCTGTGCTGTAATTTTTGCCTGGCACTTCCACACCACAGGAATAAAACACACTTTGCTAAAACCAGCTTGTAGCACTTGACTCCACTCCTCCTTCAGCTACAGAACATTCCAGCTGCAGTGGCAAAGTCTTACAGCTTTATCTTCACCTCCCACCCTCCACTCCCCTGCCAGGGAAGGTGGTGTGTTCTTGGAATATGGGTGAAGAGCAGAACTGCTCCTTCTGGGCTCAGCCCCTGCTCCTGCTAATGAGTGTCCTGCAGGTGTGAAGGCACCAGCTCTTCTTGGGGGCCACCATCTGCTCCGAGTCTGGCAATTAGAGGTCCCTGTGCATATGGATCAACTTGCTTTTCTATTCATCATTCATCTCAGGTTGAATTTTTTTTCTCCCTGCTTTGTCAGTTTAAAGGTTGATTAAGGGCTCTTTAACTCTGTTGTGCTCCAAATGTAATTAGCAGCTGAGTTTTCTGGGCTCTGAGGATGGGGAGCTGCTTTTTTAGCTTTTCTAGACTTTGGGACTGATGAGTAAAGTGTGTTTTAGTTTTGTCACATGATGATGGATGTGAGGCCATAAGGAAAATGCAGCTTTCAACCAAAGAAGAAGTGCCTACATGCCAAAAATGGGATAAAAATTGCAAGTTTCTGAGTCAGTCCTTTTGGAAAAGGAGAGCTTGTTAGATTTAAACCTGAAATTCAAGGAGCAGTTCTACAGATTCTGCAAAGCCCTGTGCTGGGGCTGGCTGGGATGGAGTGACTGGGATTTGGGGCTGCACCAGTGCTCACAAAGCTCTGAAGTTTTGGCTGTTGCTTGCACAGTGTCAAAGCTTTATCTTGTCCCACTCTGGCCCAGTGGGACCCTGGTGGTGGGTGAGAGGTGGGGAGGGGACCCAGCTGGCCCCGAGTGGCCAAGGGGAAATTCTGTGCCATAAAATGTTATGGGGAGCAATAAAAACTGGGGGAGAGGAGGAAGGAGGGGTTTGGCTTCTGAGGTGCCTTTTTTGGGGACTGGCTGGGCATTGCTGTGGCTGGGGAGGTGGTGAGTGGGTTTCCTGGGCTTCTTTCTTTCTTTCTTTCTTAATTCTTTTCTTCATCTATTAAACTGCATTTGTCTTGACTTACAAGCTTCTGGCTCTTGTTCTTCCAGTTTTCCCTGCCTGTCCTTCTTGAGCAGTGGGAATTGTCTGTGAGGGTACAATTCCCAACCCAAAAATCTTGTCCTGACTTCTAAATTTCCATTTCTCTTTGCATTGTGGCTCCTGTAATCTTTGTCTTAGTGGCATTGACTTTAAAAAGAATGAACAGCATTGCTATTGCCTCGTTAGTGTTTGTCTGTTCTTATTAATATGCATATTTTTTAGTTAGATTTCTTCAAGGCCTTGGACCATCTGAATTTACTGCTGAAAAATCATAGACTGCCTATTGATTTTGCTGTGAGCATTCATTATGGTGTGTTTTTGGGAACTGGCAGTGCTGGGTAATGTCTCAGAGCTGGAAGATGATGTTTTGCAGACTTCCAGCAGTTTGCCAAAGGGAGGCACGGACAGAATGAAAAGAAATAATGGAATGGAGGCAGAGGATGAAAGAGAGATTTAAACAAGTTTTCATCTGTATTTTGAAATACAAGCAAAATAGATTGAAAACACAATTAAAATCACTTTAACTGCAGCTTGTGAGCTTACATTAGTAATGGTAGGAAAAAGCTCTTCAGGAAACCCAGACAATTAATGGCTGCTGTGAATGGATCTTAAATGTTGTGTTATGCAAGGTTCATCTGCTCCCTTTCAGATATCTCTTTTGCCCTGTAGCTATTTTAGCTACCTTGTGTTTTCTCTCCAAAGAAGATCCTTTTGTTTTTTATTCAGCTTTTTAAGTCAGTGATGGTTTTCTATTTTGAAGGCTGTTCTTTTATGTCAAATCACACTTCTGTACTTTCAGGTCTCACAGAAAAAGGAGTCAGCCCAGAAGACACAAAACAGAGGATCAGAAGTCTCTTGGGGATGTCATGGCTATTGAAACTGCCTTGGAAGATGTGAAAGTAAAAGAGGAGCTGAAAAGGGGGCCGGATCTGGAGGAAGAGGAGAGAAGCAAAGGGATGGAGGGAGAAGGTGAGGCCAGAGCAGTGAGGAGCTCTAAAACACCTCTGTGAATAACTTGTCTGCTGCTGTTGATTTCTGTTGAAATATCAGCAGAGTTTTCCCCACTATTAAAGGCTCACTGAAATATGTCATCATTCACAGCAGCAATTGATTTTTCCCTCCCTTTAAGGATTCAATCCAAATAGCTTTTTTGGCAGGGCTTGAAAATTCTATAGGCTCAAACTATTACAGGATTGTAAAAAATATATATTATGTGGGGAATATTTTAAAGAATTTCATAGAGAAACAAATAGATGTATTTTTGTGTCCTGCTCTGAAAAAGAATGATTTGTGCACTGCCTTGTGCAGTTCATCTTTCCTCTTCCCCTCCTTTTGTTCCCATTTTTCAGACTGAATCCAGAGAGCTCAGTTTGGGTGGGATCCACAGCTGCTGCACGAGTCCCACTTGGGTTTCTTCAAGTTTAGCTGGAGCAGGGAAGCTTTTCAGCTTCCTCTGCATGAAATATAAAACCTTTGCTGAAAATAAAACCAGGCCATGACAACTCCCAGTCCTTTGGGATTCCTTCTGCACATCCAGTCCCCAGGCCTGAGCACACCCTTTGTGCAGGGGGCTCTTTCTGTGGCACCTTTTTCTTGGCTGTGTAGAAAAGGTTGGAGTTCTTGCTGGGAAAAAGCTGCTTTTTCTCCCCTGATGTGTGGTGAAGTGGTTTTTGTGTCTGTGACACACTCACTCCCTCTCTGAGGCCTCTCCAGCTCTGCTTGCAGGGGATTCATTTACATCTATTGTATATATCCCTTATTTGTTTAGCATTTGGAGAAACTGATGCTGCAAACTGTTTAGAGAACCTCAATAATGATCATAAAGGAAATCTGTGGAAGCTCAGGGAAGAGGAATGAGGGCTTTGTTCAGTCTCTCAGCTAGACAGTGTATTTTCTCTTTTCATGGGAAATAAGGAGTTGGAAAACCATTGTTGCACAGTGCAGATACTTAATTTCTATTGCCCTAAGCTCGAGAGCATCAGCAGTGTGTTAAATTGTCTGCTCTTAGCTCTTGTACAAGTTTAACACTTGATGCTTGTAATAAATGGCCCGAAAATGCTGATTTTTCCTCGGAGACGAGAGATAAGTGACAAGGACAGATCTGAGATCATTAGAATGGCCAAGGAATAATAAAAACTCTGTTCTAGCTGAACAGCTTCCAAATCATACACTTCCAGTACTTCTTAAGAGCTCTGTAACTGTTGGCTCAGGAGGGAAGAGCTTATTTTCAGCACCACTGCAGAAGTGCCACTGGAGCAAACTCCAGCTTGGTGTGGCTGCTTGCAAATGTTCAGCTTTCCTACTGCAATACAGCAATTAAATCCCAATGGCTTCTCTAGTTTTCCATATCCTGCTGTCTGCATTGCCTCTCACCAGTGTCTTAGGGTTTCATCTTGAAGAAGAAAACAGCATCTGTTTGGATGGCCCTGCTTGTGGTAATTCTGCTCCCACCCCCTCCTGCACTTCCTTTCTTTATTTTCCTGGTTTTAATTTGACTTCATTTTCTATTACACCAGAAGACGTGACCTTGAGAAGGAGAAAGAATGAGATTTCAAAGTAGTCATGGTTCCAAAGTAGGTCTTGTGCTTTGTCTTGGTTATTTGGACAAGCTGAGTATTTATAACTTGAGGTTTTCAGGATTTCTGACCCAGATCCCTTATGGTGTTTACTTTTGGTTTTTATGACTCAGCTTTGTATTCATAATTTATTGTGTTGCTATTAATATATTTAGAATTTTAGCAGGTTGTCTTGGGATGTTAGGAAGGAGAGTGTTGAGGCTTTGCCCTTGTGTGAGCATGCTGAGCAGCAGAAATCCTCCAGTGAGTCAGCAGGGGAACTGCAAGCCTGAGTGCCACCTCCAGGGCTGGGGGCTCCAAACCTCCCTGGCACCCCTTCAAGTCCTCCCCACCCTTTCCAGGGAGGAATTCCTGCTGGTGTCCAGCCTGAGCCTCCCCTGGTGCAGTGTGAGCTGTTTCCTCTTGTCCTGGTGTCCCCTGGGAGCACAGCCTGACCCCCCTGGCTGTCCCCTCCTGGCAGAGCCACAGGGTCCCTCCTGAGCCTCCTCTGCTCCAGGCTCAGCCTCCTCCCAGCTCCCTCAGCTGCTCCTCAGTTTCCTGAGCTCTGCTGAGGATTCAGATTGTCCCTGGGCAGGCAGCACAGCAGTGCCACTCACGTTCCTTGTGTCACCTTGTGTCACCTGCAGTTCCTGTGTCCCACTCACAGCTGCCATCCTCCTGCAGTGGAAGGACAGGTTCCTCTGTTAACCCACCTGTGCATGTGTGTCTGCAGATCCTTTTCCTTCCTGGAAGAGTTCAGGACAGCCAGATAAGCTCTTGGAATTTTTCCTCCCTTTTTCCTGGCTTCTGATTCCATAGATTCACTTGCAAACTCGTTTGTTCATCTTAATGCAAAAACTTTCAAGCACAGTTCTCAGTGCCAGCTGCTGTCAAATTACCCTTTAGAAGTCAATAAAGCTGGTGAATGGCATTTGTGGTGCTGTTGGGGAGAGAATTCTTGGAGTGTATAGAGAGTAAATATGATCTGGTTTTGTGCAACTGGGGAGAAATCCAATTTGCCTTTCATTCAATATGTTTGTTTCTCTAAGGAAATTCAATATTCCTTTCTCTGTGATAGAACAAACCAGTTTATCTGAGGGACTGCCTACATGAGTACAACTATAATTATTTGAGCTGGACTTGTTCCCATTTTTGTAAGTTAGTGTAAATTGTAAATAAAGTGATCAGGCTTCTGGGAAATGCTGGGGTTAAGGTGATCCCTAGGGGATTTCAGCAGGGATTTTGGCACTTTATCCTGTATTCACCGTTCTTCATGCAGAAACCTCCATTATGTGATGGTTATTTTGATTTTCCATTCATGGGTTGGGCTGGTCAGGTTTGGTGTAACCTGAAGTGGAGGGGTCTGGGCGGGCTGGGGTTGGTGGAACTTCTTCCCTGGGGTGAGCAGGCTGTCCCTGATTGTCCCAACCCGGAGACTTCCCCTCAGTGGAGAGCAGGAATTTTAATCCCTGCTGTGAAATGGGAGTGTGTGAATCCCTTCACAGGGAGGAGAGGGGGGAAGGCTTTCACGGGGCAGTTCTGCCTCTGGTGACAATAGTGAGATGTTTATCTGCTCAAGAAGTGTTGTCACATCCATGAGGGCTGTGCAGATAAACTGAGTGACAGTGAGCTGGGAGAAACAAGGACATGGCTGTGAGTAAAGGATATCTCAGGATCCAGCTGAGCTCTGTGCTGCACCTTGATTTATGCTTTAAAAGCATTTTTTAAAAAAGCTTGATAGCAGAAATCTTTGGGTAATAATGACTCAAGTATCTTTTTTCAGTTCTTCATTTCCTGGGGCTGTTGGGTGCATTGGCACACCAGTAACACCCAGATAAGAGCTGTGCTTGCAAACACAGGGAGCAGCAAACCACTGATACAGAATGGGGGTCTCCAAACTCTTTTGATTACACCTCCTTATCAGCAAAAAAAAATCATCTGAGTACACCTCCTGATGTATGTCTTTATTTATATACACATTTATTCATATATAACATAGAAATACACATGTACACGTGCATTTCTGTGCTAATATGAATATACAGATTAGAAAAGGAAGGCATAAAGATAAAGAAATACTGTTTAAAATATTTATGTTATTAATGGTATAAAAATATTTCATTCCTGCACTGCAGTGGATGGTCTTGTGCCCCTGACTTGGAGGACAAAAAACTTGGAGCACAGAGTCATGGCTAATGTGACATATTACAGGTTTTTTTGGCACACTGTCCAGTTTCCTAGGGATTTAGCTATCTTCCCTCCAGGAAACGTTGCTTTTAGCAGCCTTTGTGTTCCAGTCAGGAGTTTAACAGTCCATAGAAATGATACAAGTATTTTCTTTCTGAAGTGGCTTCTCTAGGTCAGGGCTGAGGCACAGCTGAGTGTGTGCAGCTTTCAGAGCACCCCTTGGAAAGCAGTAATTCCATGGTGGAACATGCTGGCCCAGAGTGGAGCTCTGGGAAGGGAGGGAAATGCTGAATTCCATGATGGAATGTGCTAGCCCAGAAAGGAGCTCTGAGGAGGAAGGGAAAGCAATAATTCCATGGTGGAATGTGCCAGCCCAGAGTGGAGCTCTGAGAAGGGAGGGAAATGCTGAAATCCATGGTGGAACATGCTAGCCCAGAGTGGAATTCTGGGAAGGGAAAGCAATAATTCCATGATGGAATGTGCTAGCCCAGCACGGAGCTCTGAGAAGGGAGGGAAATGCTGAATTCCATGAGAGGCTGTGCTAGCCCAGAGTGGAGCTCTGAGAAGGGAAAGCAGTAATTTCATGATGGAATGTGCTAGCCCAGAAAGGAGCTCTGAGGAGGGAGAGAAAGCAATAATTCCATAGTGGAATGTGCTAGCCCAGAGTGGAGCTCTCGGAAGGGAAGTAAATGCTGAATTTCATGATGGAATGTGCTAGCCCAGAGTGGAGCTCTGAGAAGGGAAAGCAGTAATTTCATGATGGAATGTGCTAGCCCAGAAAGGAGCGTGGAATGTGCTGGCCCAGAGTGGAGCTCTGGGAAGGGAGGGAAATGCTGAATTCCATGATGGAATGTGCTAGCCCAGAAAGGAGCTCTGGGAAGGGAAAGCAGTAATTCCATGATGGAATGTGCTAGCCCAGCACAGAGCTCTGAGAAGGGAGAGAAGGCAGTAATTCCATGGTGGAATGTTCAAGCCCATCACAGAGCTCTGAGAAGGGAGGGAAATGCTGAATTCCATGAGAGGCTGTTCTAGCCCAGCACGGAGCTCTGAGGAGGGAGGGAATTGCTGCATTCCCTCAGTGTCCCCTTTCTCTCCAGCAGGCGAGTGCAAGGCCAAGGCGCGGCCTCCGAAGGCCAAGGCCGAGCGGAAGAAGAGAGAGAAAGCAATAATTCCATAGTGGAATGTGCTAGCCCAGAGTGGAGCTCTCGGAAGGGAAGTAAATGCTGAATTTCATGATGGAATGTGCTAGCCCAGAGTGGAGCTCTGAGAAGGGAAAGCAGTAATTTCATGATGGAATGTGCTAGCCCAGAAAGGAGCTCTGGGAAGGGAAAGCAGTAATTCCATGATGGAATGTGCTAGCCCAGCACAGAGCTCTGAGAAGGGAGAGAAGGCAGTAATTCCATGGTGGAATGTTCAAGCCCATCACAGAGCTCTGAGAAGGGAAAGCAGTAATTCCATGATGGAATGTGCTAGCCCAGAGTGGAACTCTGGGAAGGGAAAGCAATAATTCCATGATGGAATGTGCTAGCCCAGCATGGAGCTCTGAGAAGGGAGGGAAATGCTGAATTCCATGAGAGGCTGTTCTAGCCCAGCACGGAGCTCTGAGGAGGGAGGGAAATGCTGCATTCCCTCAGTGTCCCCTTTCTCTCCAGCAGGCGAGTGCAAGGCCAAGGCGCGGCCCCCGAAGGCCAAGGCCGAGCGGAAGAAGAAGCAGCTGTTCCCCCCTCAGCCCCTGGGGCCGCCCCCGGGGCCCGTCCCGGCCCCTCAGCCCTCTCCCGAGGCCGGCCCGGGCCCGGCACGGCCCCCGGGGCCCCCCTCAGCCCCGGGCACGGAGCAGGGCCGGCCCGTGGCCCCGCTGAACGTGGTGCAGCCCTCGGAGGCGCCGGCCGAGGAGGACGACTTCAAGCCGCGGCCCATCATCCCCATGCTGTACGTGGTGCCCCGCAGCAAGAAGGTGGTGTTCGACAAGGAGCACATGTCCTGCCAGCAGGCCTTCGAGCAGTTCGCCACGCAGAAGGGGCTGGGCTGGCGCGAGCCGGGCCCGCCGCAGGGCCCCGGCAAGGAGCAGGATGGCGCCGAGGCCGAGCGCGCCCCGCTCACCGCCGAGGTCAGTTGTTGTGTTTGTGGGGTGCCCCGTGGCAGGGAGGAATGATGGCTCTGGCTCTGTGTTCTTGAAGGCTGATTTGTTTTCTATACTAAAAAATACAGAAAGGGTACTTACAGAAGGCTAACAAGATAATAATGAAAACTCGTGACTCCGTCCAGAGCCCCCACACAGCTTGGCCAATAAGTCAAAACAATTCACATGAAACCAATGAAACGATCACCTGTTGGTAAACAATCTCCAACCACATTCCAAAGAAGCAACCCGCAGGAGAAGCAATGAGATAATTATTGTCTTCCTTCTCCTCTGAGGCTTCTCAGCTTCCCAGGAGAGAAATCCTGGGCGAAGGGATTTTTCCAGAAAATGTGACTGTGACAGTCAGTGGCTCGCAGGCTGTGGTGGCCAGCATGAGGACAGCTCCAAGGCCAGGCTGGGTGCAAGCACCACCTGGTCTCGGGGTCTACAGCCCCGTGGCAGGGTTGGAACTGGATGGGCTTTGGGGTCCCTGCCAGCCCAACCCAGTCTGGGATTCCATGAGTCACGATTTCCGTGGAGTTCCCAGCTGTGTATGTGGTTGCACAGACTTTTCATGAGCTGATGGAATTGGCAGCTTGCAGATGTTCTGAGGCTGTCCTGATTTGAAGAAAACTCTGTAGTTTACCCAACTTCTTAAGAGTTGGTGTTGGCTTTTATCTGCTCCAGGAATTGGCTTGGAAGGCTTCGGTCGTTCAGCCGAAAGGCAGAGAAAAGTTTTCTGTGTGAATCCAAGAGCTCTCTTTGACAGGAGCTCTGCCTCTCTTGTCCTGTTGCCTCCTTTGGGGTGCCCATCCAGCTTGTTGTGCTTCCTTCCAGGCTGCTTCTGCCTTCTCCAAGATGAAGATGGAGATCAAGAAGAGCCGCCGGCACCCGCTGGGCAAGCCCCCGACGCGCTCCCCGCTGTCCGTGGTCAAACAGGAGACCTCGAGTGACGAGGGTGAGTGAGCAGCACCAGGGACCTGGGGATGTCCTGTCTGCCCCAGGGAATTGCTGAAGTCTTTGGCAAAACTGGGAGGCCTGAAACTCTGTGTTACACGTAGCTGGTAGGAAAGGCAGCGTGTTCCCGTTTGGATAACCCAGCTGGAAACAAAACTCCTCCGTGGGAGGTGTCACTTCTCACCTCCCACCCTTTTTTCACTCAAGAAAAATATTTTGCTGGCTGCAGAATGAGGCAGCATTTTGGGCAAAGGGAAAAAAGGAGTTTGCAGAAAATAATGTCTTAAAGGCAAAGCTCTGTCTTGGATATTGCAGTGGGATGAGAGCTGGTCCTTGGAGGCAGTGGAGGTCAGATCTGCTCTCATGTGTGTGAGGAAAGTCAGTTCTAACCTTTTGCTTTCTTCCTAATTCACATCAGTGTTGGGGTCCAGCTTTCCTTGGCAGAGGCAGAAATGAGAATTTAAATGTTTTTTGGTGTTTAACTGTACATCACTGATTCTTCTTTCCCCACATTCCAATCCCCAACAGTCTGGACCAAGGGGAAATAAAAGATTCTTACCTCTCACACTGTTTTGTGGTGTAATCTCCCACTTTGAGGCCTTTTCCACATTACTCAGAATATGAACAATGCCCCAGTAAGGAGCTTTTGTGTGCTGGGTCAGGCACGTGGGAGCTGCTCACAGCTCCTCATTCCAAAGGACATCATCTTTCCCATTCACCCTCCTTCAGGAGTGCATCCTTTGATTTTAGAGCAGCCTCCTGCAGGAAAGGCTTCTCCTGAGCTCACAGAGCTCCTTTCCTCACCGAGGAGGATGCATTTGATGCCTTCCAAGTGTGTAACACGGAGTGAAGTGTGCAGAGGCAGCTGAGAGTTGTTCTCTTGTTTTGGTGTGAGACCTTGGAACCAGCTCTGAGCTGGAGGATCCTCATTAGGCAGATTCTTCTCTCTGCTTTGACTTGTTGGATGCTGTTTGGGGACTTGGCTGGTGGAGCAGGAGCAGCTCTTGTGGAAGCTGGCATTTCTTTGGGACTGATTTACAGCTCTGCTGGGCAAAATCTGATCAAACAGATTCTTCCCTCCCCACCAGGGAATAGAGGCAGCTCTCTGCACCCCAGGCTTTCTCAGGGAATGATGTGCAGGATGATCTGCAGGCTGCAGGAGCAACAGTGAGCATGTAAATTAAGGGAGTGCACATGTTACACAAAAGATTCAGCCCAGACAAGTTGTTTGCAATGTGGGAGCCATTCTGAATGCCTTGTGTCCCCCTGGATCCATCCTGGGAGGAGCCAAGGTGATAGCACACACCAGTCATTCCCTTTCTTCTCTCCCTCTGTCACTCTGGATTAGGCTGCTGGTTTCCCTGGTGTCATAAATCCTGGTCTGTCACCTCATGTGCCTTGACTGAAATTTGGAGAAATGTGGGTTTTGATTCATGTCTTATAAATAAACACTTTTTAGAGGGTAACCCTGATATGAAATGTGACAGAGCCACATACCCAGCACTCATCACCTCAAAAAAGAGATTCATCAAACACAATAAAATTTCTGACAAATATATTATGGGCAGCATTTAAAATCTGAGATGTAAACCCAGCCATTAACATTTACTACAAGTTCCTTTTATTCTTTCAGGTAACCCAAGAGTAAGAAAATCTTCAAAGGGTGGGAGAACTGGGGAGGAGACTTAGACTTGTAGAGCAGAACATAAACTGCTTATTTCCAGTAATTAACAGTGAAGCAGTGAACAATTTGGTTTAATGTGCTGAGCTCTGGGGATAATGTTCTTCCAAGATGTTTTTGAGTTCCCTGTTCTTTTGGAAACTTTGCATATTGGTGATGCAGGGAATGATTTACATTCAGCCTTGTGTGGAAAATGTCTTTAACACTTACAGTGACTCAAAACTCCTTCATAAGGAAGGGTAAGAAACTGGGACCCCCAGACTGCCACAAATGGATTCGGCAGTGGTTTAATCGTGAAATGCCAAGGACCTTTTAAAGGTTTATAAAATAAAGAATTAGCAAACTAATTAGCAGGAGCAGTTGCTGGCAGAGTTGTAGCAGAGGGAGGGATGGTGGGGAGTGCAGATGGCAGGCTCAGAGCTGTGGGAATGGCTGTACCAGAACACTGAAGCAGGGCACCCCCAGCCAGGGTTGGTGTGTGCAGGGCAGCTCTGGGGTGCACCTTGGGCTGTTTAATTCACCCTTGCTCCTTTTGCCTCTGCTCTTTTGCCTTTACTTACTGCTCATTGTTTTGGGATTTCTCTTTTTTCCTTTTCGTTCTAGAAATGTTTCCATTTTCTGGAGAGGAAGATATGAGTGATCCAGAGGCTTTGAAATCTTTACTTTCCTTCCAGTGGAAGAACAAAGCACTTAATTTCCCAGCTGAAAGGAAGTTCAATGCAGCTGCTGCCCTGAGTGAGCCATACTGTGCTGTCTGCACCCTCTTCTACCCCTATAACCAGGTAATTCCTCGTCACAGAGTCAGGGAATCATTAAGATTGGAAGAAACCTTTGGGATCAAGTCCAGCTGTCAGCCCCCCACCACTGTGTTCACCCTAAAGCCACGTCCCCCACTCTGTCTCCATGTGTTTTGGGATGGTGACCCCAGTTCTCTGGGCAGCCTGTGCCATTGCCTGCCCACACCTTCCATGAAGAGATCTCCCCTAATACCTCATCTAAACCTCTGCCACTGCTCAGATGGATGAGTTAGGATGCAGACGTTTCTGATACAGACAAACCCATACAAATCTGCACACCAAAGAAATGTGTTTGGGTTTGGCAGTGGCTGGAGCCTTTTTTGTTATCTTTCCTGGCTTCTCTGGCTTGCTCAGTGTTCATTTTGAAATCACACTGAAAGAGCTTTGCAAACACTGTTCCATGCAGAGAAAAGTCACACCAGGCTCCTGTTTCCACATGGGCCTGAGTTGCTGAATTTATGCAAACAAGCCACAAAATAAAAATTTACTGAGTAAGCACATCCATCACCTTTTTTTGGAAACTACCAATATGCTTTGGGAGATGTTATAAGCAGAAAGGCAAAATTCATCAGATGAATTAGTTATTTGTGCAGTTGTGCATTGATTTGTTCTCACATAAAGCCAAGTCTGGCTTTGTGTGCCCACCAGGAATTCGTGTCTGAGATACTTGTAGCTGTGTTGGAAGCTTTTCCTGAGGAAAGCAGAACCCACCTCCCCCTTCAATAAAATCTCATGATTTATTATACAGACTGAAAATAAAATATCTGTTCTGATTGCTGGCTGTTGTGAGGAAAACTGGGTGCAGCTGAGCTGGTTTTATCCATTGCTATTAACTCTGTCAGCTACCAGAAACCTTGAAATGTCCTTCAGGAGAACTTCTTGCAGGAAAAGTAGGGAAGGATGCCAAGGGGATGGGAGAGAGAGGGAGGGAGGGAAGGCCTTGCTTTTAGTAATATTTTCCTTTTTATTTTTCCTTGGTGTTTTCAGCTGTAATTTAAGAATTTAGATTTTTTGCATAAGAAAACCAGGAAAAGCTGCTCATTATTCTAATGCACCTTTGAGCTTCCACAACAAATTACAGATCCCAGTCTGTGCCTGAGGGAGAGAGGGAGAAGCAAGGGGGAATCAGGATTTTTTGGGCTGTTTGTTGGCTGTTTGGTGTCAGGTGTTGGGTGACCTTTTTGCAAGGGGAGTGCTCAGAGTGGAAAGGGAAAGCCATGGCCAGCAGGAGGTGGTTGCAGTGATGGGGTTTTCTCTGCAGTCCTCACAGGTGGAGAAGGAAGCTGCCCCAGTCTCTGCAGGGGAGCCGTCCTCGTTCCTGCACCTTTCCAAGTGTGGCCAGAGGACCAAGCCCCTGATCCCAGAGATGTGCTTTACCTCAAGTGGAGAAAACACCGAGCCCCTTCCTTCAAATTCCTACATTGGAGAGGATGGAACCAGTCCCTTGATATCCTGTGCCAAATGCTGCCTGCAGGTTCATGCTAGTGAGTGTTCACCTTCCCCAAAGCCTTTGGGTCCCCAGAAACTCAGGAGTTTGTGTGTTGCTGCATTTGAGAGGTTCATGCTAGTGAGTGTTCACCTTCCCCAAAGCCTTTGGGTCCCCAGAAACTCAGGAGTTTGTGTGTTGCTGCATTTGAGTTCCTTCTTGGCAGGTTTGTGTCCCGTCAGTCCCATTTTTTATCTTTCTTGGTACAAGGATATCAGGAATCCCAGAAAGGTTTGGGTTGGAAGGAGCTTAAAGCTCATCCAGTTTCCATCCCCTGCCTTGGGCAGGGAACGTTTCTCTCAAAGCACATCTGTGTATTCAAGTCCATCTTGGAAGTCACTGATCTTAAAAATACACACCAATATTCTTTTTACTGCTTATTTTGTTGGCTGATTCGTCTCTGTCTCACAGAAAAGATTCTTTCTTTTGATACCTTTCATTTTTTTGTAATAAAGCAGAACTCAAAGGCTTTATTGCACTCTTTTCTCTCACATATTTTGTTCCAATATTGTTCTGCTGGGGGAGGCTATATTGCTCCTGCATGCAGCAGAGATTATGGAGTAGTTTGAGATATATTTTATTAGTGTCTGTGATAGTGTTTGTAGTAATGGCACTTGATTACAAAAGGGAACATATGTCTGTTTGCTTCCCTGATAGTTATGTCTAAAAGAAGATCTGATTAATCCTGGTGGAGTGTACCTTCAGTGGAGATTGTGCAGCATCCAGTTAGCATTTGTGACGAATTACTGTTCAGCTGTTTGATCTTGACAGATGGAGAATCTTATTTGACTTGCATCAGCTGGAATTACTTTTGTTGTTCCAATTTTAGAGCCTGCAGGTCCCTGTGCAGCTCAGCAGGGCTGGGGAACTGAAAGGCAACTTTTGTTTCTGTGCTGAATCCCTAATTATGGTCATTTCTGGCTGATCAGGCCGTGGGATGCAGAGTGGGTGTGAGGAGGAAGATTTCATCCTGCCTTCACAGTTCAGGGCTCCTGCATCTTGTCCATCCTCAGGCCTGCAGTAGTCCAGTCTATCAGAATGGTTTCTGTGGCCAAATTCTCTTTAAGGACAGAGGGGTGTGGGCAAGATGATGTTAATCTGCAGGCTCAGACCTGAGGTCCATCTTTTTTTTAGAGAAACTCAGCTTTATATTTTGGCTGTACTCTCCCCTTGAGGGTAGGGCAGGACAGGTGTTAAATCTGATGGAGGCTCAGGCTGGAGTGCCTGGTTGTCTCCTTGTGCTCTGTGACATCCCTTTGACTTTGCTGCAGACAATCCATTTGCTTTTATTGCAGGATTGCAGTGGTGAGGTGTATTTTGGCTGACTGTAAAACCAGCTGGCAGCCTGTGTGTTCTTGGGAAGTGCCCTCTCAAACTGTGCTGGGTTCCAGCAGCCAGGCCCTATGGAGAGGGGAAGGTTGGGGAAGGTTTCTGACAAAATCCATAAAAAGAGCATATTTTTCTTGGATTATCCTTATGGGACAACCTGGGGTTCAGTAAATGGGATTTTTCTGCCTTCACAGAATCACTGAGGTTGGAAAAGACCTTTAAGGCCATCAAGTCCAAATGTGAGCCCAGCACTACCACCCTGCCCACCACTGGCCATGTCCCCAGGTGCCACATCCCTGGATGTTTTTAACACTTCCAGAGATGGTGATTCCACCTCTGCCCTGGGCAGGCTGTTCCAATGCTTTACAACCCTTTCCATGAAGATATTTTTCCTAATTTTCAATCTAAACCTCTCCTGGTGCAGCTTGAGGCTGTGCTCAGGGTCTGGCTCTCCCTCAGCTCAGTTTTGGACTGAACACCCCTGTCCCTGTTCTAGGCCTGGGTGGAATTTGCTGCCCTGATTTGCCATATGATGAAAAGAGACCTCAGATGTGGAGAGCAACTGCAGATCCATAGTATTGACTTTTTTTGACATGCTGTTTATCTGGTTAAGTGGATGATATTTATAAATCAGGCTGTGGTGGCAATCCCAGTGCTTTCTGAATGTCTTCTTTTGAGTCTAATTCAGTAATTTGAGATTGTTGTTCCCAAGTGAAATTTTCTGTTCAGTTTGTTAGGACAGGTGAAGGCTGGATGAGATTTTGTGAGGAGGGATGGAGGCTGGGTGTAATGAGCTGTGTGTTAGCTGAGATGCTTATCTTCAATTTTCCACTCACTTTACAAGCTTGCAGGAATCACATAGATCTACTTTTCCAAAACTGTATTAGTGTCTTTTCCCCATTGTTTTCAGTGACAAACTCCAGTGCCTTTTACAGAATTTTAAGGACTTTTTTTGTTCTTATTTCCCTGCCTTTATAATGGGCATAATACCACTTTACTATTTTGGTGGTGTTGTAGGAGGATTTGGTGTTTGCATGTTACAGTAATTGATGCTCTGTAAAGTGAAATGTTTTTAACACTTTCTATAACGATAAATTAAATGCTGTTAACCATGTGGACTGCAGGTATTTCATTTCCTTGCAGTATTATTGGCCTTGTCCTTCCTCATAACACCACTCAACAAAAGTAACTGCTTCAGCCTTGTCAAAATTCAGTGCCCTTCCCTGATTTGATGTGTGAGTGCACTCCAGCAGCGGTGGCATCACCTTGGAGCCCAGTTCCTGCCTAAAGAAACAAAGTCTTGTTATTGTAGTCCTTAGAAAAGTGAAAAACAAATGTGAGGGTTACCTGTGGGGGGGTTTGGTTGGTTTGTTTTCAGTACTGCTGCTCCCAATTCCCATTTTGGTGGAGCCTGTGGAATACAGTTCCTCAGATGCTCTCAGAGTTGCTTCTGAACTGAAAAGTCATGGAGTGAAGCTGGGAAGGGTTGTGGAAGGGTTGTGGAAGGGTTGTGGAAGGGCTGTGGAAGGGCTGCTCTCAGGGGCTGTGGCTCTGTTTCTTGCAGGCTGTTACGGGATACGCCCGGAGCTGGTGAACGAGAGCTGGTCGTGCTCGCGGTGCTCGGCCGGCGCCTGGGCAGCGGTAAGGACTGCCCCCAGCACACCCTGGCACTGCTGGCACCCCAGCTGCTCCACAGGCACGGGGGGAGGAGGATTCAGGGTGCCTTTGGTATCCCAGCCGGGGTGTGGTCGCTTTCTGGGGAGGATGAACGGCCTGGCAGAGCTTTTGGGTCCTGTTCTGAAGGGGTTGTGTTCCCGCAGGAATGTTGCCTGTGCAATCTCAGGGGAGGAGCTCTCCAGATGACCACTGATGGCAGGTGAGTGCTGGTTCTGAGTGTGTTTTCCTTCCATGCTGCTCCTAATCTCCTTGTCTTGTGAATTTGGTCTTAATGCTCAGCGTAGCAGCGAGTTTTGGGGTTCTGGAGGGAACTGCTCCTCGTTGACTTGGCAGGATGAGCCCAAGTGACTGTGCTGCCCTACACTGCACCAGGCTGCTCGACAGCAGAGCTTCTGAACGCCTGCTGAATGTGGCTGCTTCTCAGAGAAAAGTCTTCTCAGAGAATGTTTAGCGTTGTGCAGTATCAGGTGTAGGGGAAGGTTGGTCTCTGTTGTTCCAGAGACATTTACCTTGTGCCACCCTGATTAACAGTCGATTGGGAACATTGCCAAGGCTGCCAACCCCTGGAAATGTGCCTCGATGCTGAGGGAGGCAGGGAAATGTTAACTGCCCTCCTGAGCATTTCATTCAAATGATGGCAGGCCCTGATTTGTGTCTTCACTTCGCTCCCCAGGTGGGTCCACGTCATCTGTGCCATTGCTGTCCCCGAGGCGCGCTTCCTCAATGTCATCGAGCGTCATCCTGTGGATATCAGCGCCATCCCCGAGCAGAGGTGGAAACTGGTGGGTGTCTTTTACTGGGGACAGTCTTTGGGAGCAGGAGCCAAAGGGAAAAGCTGTGACCAGGCAGAAAATCATTGTGTGGGTTTGTGAAGCAGCTGAGATTGGAGGTGATCTCGCTCTCATTTCCAAACAAAAGCGGCGTTGTTTGTGTCTGCTGAGCCCTCTCAGTGCTTTGACACACAACCAGCTCTGATTTTCAGATGTGCCTTTACTCTCTGGGAGTGTGCTGTACCCTGGGCAGAGCCTGGGACTCCTTCCCACCTGCAGTCAGGTGTAAAGTGTTCTGAAAGCTCTGTTTAATCCAAGTACTGCACAGCAGGCGTGCAGAGGGACATGGTGACTAGAGAGAAGCTGACTTGTTCATCTCTAATTCACCTCTCCTTACAACATTTCTCTTTTTCTATCAAGAAATCTCTTGTAGAAATGAATAAACATTTCTCTGACCCTGACTGCAAGGCAAGACTGCAAGGATTTTAATACAAGCCCAGCTCCAAGTTGTTATTTAGCTGTGTGGCCTCATCTGAGGGATTAGTAATGGACGATTCATTAGCTCAGAGCAATTTATCTTAATGTTAGTTAATGCTCCATCACTATAGTGTGTTATTGCAAAATAAATTGTGCTTTTGCTGCTTTTTTTGGTACAGAAGTCAGCTGGGTGACACAGTGTGGGATGGGGAAGGTGCTGGAGCAGTGATAGATGGGTTGTGCTGATGGATTCGTTAACAGAGCTGCTACTTAGTGCAGCGAGCCCGGGTGAGAGATTAGGAGGAACCTATCCCTGCTTCCAGAGTTATTTCTCTGTTGTGCAAATGGGTTTTGTACACAAATGTGAATGTAAAAAGCATTCATTATTCAGCAGGAGTGATGGGGCAGCGCAGTGCCAGGGTGATAAATCTTGCAGCCGTGGCTCTTTATGGATCAGCTGACACTTGCAACGTGCATCCTCTTCATTACCAGCACTTGTAACGCTGAACTTAAAATCCTTTTACACAACACTCACTTGTATTGCTTAATGGAGCCTCACAAGGAAACATGACTTAATTCTTTAACCCTTCCTTGGCTGCCTGGCAGTCCTGCAGAGCCAGGGCAGTGTCTGTGTGTGTCTGACTCTGCTGCTTTGCTCTGCTCCAAAGCACAGCCTGTGCCTAGCAGAGCCTCTGCACGGACCCACTGCACCCATTTCTCATTCATTCCTCAATTAAAACTGCAAAGTTTCATAGAATCCCACAATATCCTGAGCTGGGAGGGTCCCCCAAGGCCATCAGTCCAACTCCTGGCTCTGCACAGACACCCCAACAATCCACCCTGAGAGCATTGTCCAAACGCTCCTGGAGCTCTGGAAAGAAATTTTGTTTGATGTCTTCTGTTGTATTCCATTTGCACCTCGTGTTTTCTTCCTTTCTCAGGGAACATGGAGAATTTTTGCATGAATTGCCTTGACTTACATAGGCCAGTGTTGGAATTTACAGGCACATATTCCTTATGCTGCTGTTAGCCAGAGCCTGGCTTGTAGCTCAAATGTCAAACCTTCACTTGGAAAGTTTTAGAGTTATCAGTTAGGTAAGGATTAAACAATGAATTTGGAGGGCAGACTGCAGAGGCAGTGGGGCTGTGCTGTGGGCTGTGAGGTACAAAGGGAGTGTAAATTGGATGAGATTGTGTGCAGAGACTCATGAGCCATGGTGGGGAGTTTGAGGATTGTTCATGGGAATTTGCAGGTAATTCCTGGAGCATGTGGGGAGTCAGTGGAGGAGCTGGGGGCTGAGTGCTTTGGAGGTGAGCAGCTGAAGTCAGGAAGATAAACTGAGGGAGACTAAAAGGTGATGGCATTGGAGCTCCTGACTTTGGCAGTGATGGGCTTGGTGCAGAACTTGATAAAATTGGGAAGATGACCTTTGTGGCTGGAAAAGATGGAAAAGGAGAGAAGGAATGATGTGAAGGGTGAGGACAGCTGATGTAAACAGATGAGGGTAGTGGAGGAGAGAGGGGGTAGGGGTTATATGTGGTTATAATTTGATTTTTTAATATGTTTTTATTGTTTTGAGTTCCTGTGATGAGGGCTGAGGTGCCAAGGAGTGGCAGTGATCTGGTGAGAGGAATATCCTGTTCTCTAAGCTTGGACCAGGTCTCCCTGTGCAAGCACAGACTTTTCAGTCCATTTGTGGGTATGGCACCATTTTCAGGACTGCAGTTTCCTGCTCCCAGATTGATGGCACATTACAGGCCTGTGCACGTAAATTATTTATGACGTGGAAATTTGGAATAATTAGCTGTCATTCCTCAGTGGAGTAAATGAATTGCAGTGTTCACCATGCAGCAGACAGCCCATTTCTTACTCTCAGCAGTGACCTGACTCTGGTGTGCATTTTATTCTGAAGATTTCTCTCCTGTGCTTTGGACTCTTTCCCCTCTCACAGAAAATGCTTTTAAATCTCCTTGTGCAGCTTTCCCACAGCACTTGGCACCCGTGTTTCTGTCCATCCCATCTCCCACACTTCCAGATCTGCATTTTCATACAATCCCAGACTGGTTTGGGTTGGAAGGGGCCTTAAATCCCACCCAGTGCCACCCCTGCCATGGGCAGGGGCACCTCCCACTGTCCCAGGTGCTCCCAGCCCTGTCCAGCCTGGTCCTGGGCACTGCCAGGGATCCAGGGGCAGCCCCAGCTGCTCTGGGCACCCTGTGCCAGTGTTTTACCACCCTCACAGCCAAGAATTGTCACTTCCTCCATCACTCCTTCCACATCAGGCTCACTGTCACTCACATTTATCTTCTGATCATATTTGCCCTGAACATCCCTGTGTGGAGCTCTTGTGCCTGTCACAGGGAGTTTGTGTGGGCACAGGGTGTGTGCTGATCCTGCCTTGGCAGAGCCCTGTTGGCATCAGGAGGGGCAGATTCCTGCCCTGGGAGGGTTCATGCTCCCCCAGCCCCCTGTGTGTCAGCAGCTGTCCCCACTGCTGGGACAAGGGGATATCCACAGGTTCACAGTGGCTGTTGGCTCCCCTCAGTCCTGCTGGGCACTTCCCTGCTGCTTATCAGCCTCTGGAACATGGTTTGCAGAGTGATAAAAGCTCAGCTTATTAAAGGCTAAACCCACGTTCTGGCAGCACTCAGGCTCTGGCTTTGAATTTCCTGACTTTTGTTGGTTTGTGTAAAAAGGCCAAATTAATCTTTGGTGTAAACAAAGTGCCTTCAGTTAATTCATGGGACTTATTTCATATAAATGTGGGGCAGAGCCCAGGCAGGGAGGGGGGTATTCCACAGGAATAAGGAAGAGAAATCTTCTGTTCTTTGGCATCTTTTGCTTTCAGGGAAGAGAAGTGTTCCTGGAGAGGGAATCCCAGAATCCCAGAATGGTTTGGGTGGGATGGGACCTTGAAGGTTTTGGAGTTCCACCCCCTGCCACGGTCAGGGACACCTTTTGTTCATTTTAATCCTGAAAGGCACATTTGTCTCATGTGTTTGATATTAATTTTGCCCTGATTTGCCTTGTGCCAGCCTCAGATAAGGTGAAGAAGCTGCCACACCCCTGGAAGTGTCCAAGGCCAGGCTGGATGATTGGGATGAGCTTTAAGGTCCTTCCAGCCCAAACCATTCTGGGATTTGCTGACCAGTGACAGATTCCTGGAAATGTCAAAAACTGAGTGGTGTTTCCAAATGGATCCCTGGAAACATTTTGCAAGAATCCATTCTTTAGACTGGGATTCCTAAAATCTCCTTTTCTGTATTTCTGAGGAGATGGAAACAAGAATTGGTGCTGGTTTAGGGAGTGAGGAAGTTTGTCTTGTTCCCACTGCAGCTCCTGCTCACTGTCAGTGCCATCAGCCTCAGATTTTTAGCTTTGAGAAAATGTAATTTCTTTTTAAAGCAGTTACACGTCTTACATCGATTTACCTCATAACTGGGTCTGCTCTGCAGAAAATGAGTGTGAAAATGTCTCTGAGATTTCAGACCTTTTCCCCGATAATTCTTGGGTTTTTTTCATACAGTGTTTTTATTTCTTTTGTTTGCAAAACTGACTGAATTATCTACAGTGGCTCATCTGACATGGATGCCAATAAAATATTTATGGTTGATATGCTTATGCATCTAAAATAAACACACAGTATTTTTGTTCCATTATGTAATTTTATATTCCATGAGATCTGATCAATACAATGTCCCATTAAACATAATCGAGCAAATTGCCACCCAGTTACTGTGTTCTGTTCCTTCAGAAAAATGGAAATGTTATTTTCCAGCAGTGCACCTGTGAGGATCCAGTGCTGTTGGAGTTAATGAGGATTGGAATTAATGAGGTGTAGGTGCACTGTTTGTGTGAGCAGGGTGAGGGTGCAGCAGTTCTCTGGTACCACTGGTGGGTGTTTGCCCAGTCCAGGCTGGGAACCAGGCTGTGTGTGCCCAGAGTAGCTCTGCAGGGCTGAGTGGCTGGGGTGGTGAGGGAGGGAGTGACAAGATCTGCTTGGAGAGATCCTGGGTGGTGCCCACAGACAGCCCTGGCTGCGTGGGCCCATCCCCTTGGCACACAACACCACTTTGGCTGTGGCACTGCAGCCACGGGCTCTGTGCCCTGTGCCACGTCCTGTGGGGTCTCTGGGGTCTCTGCAGGGCTCCAGGCTCTGCTCCTTGAGAGGTCTGAGCTCTGGGTGTGTTCCCTGGCAGAGCTGGGGGTGACCCCAGCTGTGTTCCCTTGCAGAGGTGACCCCAGCTGTGTTCCCTTGCAGGGGGGTGATTCCAGCTGTGTTCCCTGGCAGAGGGGTGACCCCAGCTGTGTTCCCTGGCAGAGCTGGCTGTGACCCCAGCTGTGTTCCCTTGCAGAGGTGACCCCAGCTGTGTTCCCTGGCAGAGGGGTAACCCCAGCTGTGTTCCCTGGCAGAGGGGTGATTCCAGCTGTGTTCTCTTACAGAGGGGTAACCCCAGCTGTGTTCCCTGGCAGAGGGGTGATTCCAGCTGTGTTCCCTGGCAGGGGGGTGATTCCAGCTGTGTTCTCTTACAGAGGGGTAACCCCAGCTGTGTTCCCTGGCAGAGCTGGCTGTGACCCCAGCTGTGTTCCCTTGCAGAGGTGTGTGTACTGCAGGAAGAGGATGAAGAAGGTGTCTGGGGCCTGTGTCCAGTGCTCCTACGAGCACTGCTCCACGTCCTTCCACGTGACGTGCGCGCACGCGGCCGGCGTGCCCATGGAGCCCGACGACTGGCCCTACGTGGTGTCCATCACCTGCTTCAAGCACAAAGCTGCAAACCAGAACGTAGGTTTTGGGCTGGGCTCTGGGGGATTTGAGGTTTTTTGGTTTCTGGGGTTTTTAAAAATAGTTTCCGCCTGTGTTGGGTCAAAACGTTTTGTGCTTTTAATGCAGGATTGTCCAGGAAGATGTTGTTGGGGGTGGTTTAATCTGCAAGAGGGCTTGTTTGGATATTGGGAAAGAATTCTATGAAGAGAGTAGAACACTGGTACGGGGTGCTCAGAACAGCCGTGGGTGTCCCTGGATGCCTGGCAGTGCCCAAAGCCAGGCTGGATGGGGCTGGGAGCACCCTGGGAATGTGGGAGGTGTCCCTGCCCTGGCAGGGGTGGCACTGGGTGAGATTTAAGGTCCGTCCCACCCAAACCATTCCACGATTCCTCGGATTTTGGATTCCTTTCCAGCTGTGGCTGGCAGCTGATCCTGCTGTGTCCCTGCAGGTGCCGTTCCGCAGGGAGGTGGCCCTGGGGCAGACAGTGATCACCAAGAACAGGAACGGGCTCTACTATCGCTGCAGGGTCATCGGCACCAGCACCCAGACCTTCTACGAGGTCAACTTCGACGATGGCTCCTACAGCGACAACGTCTACCCCGAGAGCATCATTGTAAGGCAGCCTGGGGACCCTGCTGTGCCACAGGCAGTGCAAACTGTGATCTGTGCCCTGGGCTGGAGCAGCAAAGCAAAACTGAACTTTTTCATTTTAATTTTTAAGTTGCTGCTTGCCTAGAAAATCTCATCTCGCTCTTCATGACAGATCTTGTTCCTGACATTATCTCATTTATTTTTTGGTTGCTTTACAAAGATGTGATCTTGCTGAATGCAGATGACTTCACAGAAAGCAGTGTTTGTTCTAAATTTCATCCTATTTGTTTTGTGGTTGAATAATCTTATTTTTCAACTGACAAGAGTGATTCATGGGGGAAGCAGATTGTTCGTAAGCACTTCTGGTTCAAAACAGGGAATTCACTTAATAGAGGGAATGTCTAGAAGAGGCTGATTTGTCAGCTCATGCATTGCCTTCCTGATTGTGCCACTGATTCACTGAGTTGCCCTGCTTGTTTTTGAGATACAGGAGATGGGATGCAGTGGGATTTGTAATGAGAAATGTCCATGAGCTGGGTGCTGGCAGCAGAAGGAGCTGCCAGAGTCAATTCCTGCTCTCCCAGGCTGGTTTTGTTTGAGATGCCCACAATTAATCACAAGTGCAGAAATGTGTCCTATTGCTCATTACCATGTGATTTTTAGCACGCCTCTGGCTCCTGAGCTCTGGTGGAGCTGTGTGTCTGACCTCTCTCTCTGTGTCCTCAGAGCAGGGACTGCATCCAGCTGGGGCCCCCTCCCGAGGGGGAGCTGGTGCAGCTGCAGTGGACGGACGGGATCATCTACAAGGCCAAGTTCATTGCAGCCCAGATCAGCCACATTTACCAGGTGAGTGGCACAGGGGTCCCTGGGGTGTGCTCCAGGATGGGAGAGCTGAGCCTGCACCAGGGATGGGCTGCTGGAGCAGGGAGAGCAGGAGGAGATCTGGGAGCAGATGATTTATTCCCTCTGAGTTTGTCCAGCCTGAACTTGACACCCCTATTAAACTGTGCTCTGTGTCCTTCTGCTTTATGCAGAAAAGTGTATTAAAGTCTTGGGCAAAGGAAATAAGAATCCCTTAAAAACTTTTAATAGTTTTAACATTTTGCTGTGCACGTTTCCATGAATAAACATCCCTGGAACATCTGATGCATAATTCATGATATAATCAGTGCTTAGCAAAAAGGGTTTCATGGGAGGAGTTTTTTGTACCTGGCTGACTATTTCTGCTGGTTGAAATACAAATGTACTTTAGTAGCTGGAGCTGTTTCCTTGTGACCTGTAAAAATGCTTTGTTTAAGATGAAAGAAATTCTTATTACCATATTGGCCTGAATAGAGGGCTGCTTTTATTATAAGTGAAAAGCTGCTTTTTTCAGGATATGAATCAAAAATCAGTAGAAATGCGAGGTGCTGGGCCAGCTGGAGTACAGATATTTTGGGATCCATGGAGCACTGAATGAATCCACTTGGATAAGTCAGAGGTGCCTGAGCAGCACTGAGAGCAGCACTTTTTGGGCTCAGCATCCTCCCCAGAGCTTGGGAGTGCTCATTCCACAGCAGCCCTGGAGACATCCGTGGGGACTGGCCCCTGATGCTGCCTGGGTGGCACAGGCTGGGAAGGGGCTGTTCAGTGCTGGCTCTGAGTTCATCTTCTGCCTCCCTGCAGGTGGAGTTTGAGGATGGCTCTCAGCTAATGGTGAAGCGTGGGGATATTTATACCTTGGAGGAAGAGCTTCCCAAGAGAGTCAAGTCTCGCCTGGTGGGTACCAAAATAGCAAACAATAAACCAGCTGCAGCTTGCAGAACCCCTTCACTTTTTTTTTCATGTATTTTTTAGACATTAGGTGAATGCAGCCTCCAGTTTCTGTGTCTGTAAAACTGCTTGTCATTCCCAAAATACACAGAGTGGAAGAAATCCTGGCCATGGATGCTTGAGAGGCACAGAAATTATTTCCTCTTGCACGTGTTCAGCTCAGAGTTTATTTCTCTGGTTAAAAGATTATGTTCAGATCATTTTACACCATATGAATTCAGTTACATGGAGTCATCCTGTCCAAGGGTGAGGTGAGCTGGGCTGCAGCTCAGGGGTTTCTGGAGAACTGATTATCACCATGGGACCAAACCCCTTTTCTCACCAAACTGGAGATTTAGAGTGTGGCTTTTACCTATAAATCTCTTAATCTACACAAGATCAGGCTGTCTTTAAGTGCATAGAGTGCAGTTACTGAGCCTAGAAAAGATGAGGGATTTATTTAATAGATTTTTTTTTTTTTGGTTCCAGACCTGCTGGGTGTTTTCAGACCTGGTGTTTTACCCTTTAAAGCCATTTCATTTAACCAGGTGCTGGGGCTGGGGAATGCCCAGGCTGTTCCCAGCCCAGGGGGTCTGTGGGTCTCTCCCTGTGCTCCTGCTGTGCCCCTAATGGTTGTTTTGTGTCTCCTGCAGTCCCTCAGCACTGGGGCCCCTCAGGAAGATGTATTTTCAGGAGATGAAGTGAGAGCAGCCAAGCGTCCCCGGCTGGGGAATCCAAGGAATCCTGAGGAATATGGACAAACCCCAGATTACTTGGCCTTCATGGAGAGCCTGTTGCAGACACAGTACCAGCCTGGGACTCAGAGCAACATGTTTTAACCAGGATTCATTCAAAATATTCAATTAACCCTTTTTGAGTTAGTGGAAAAATAAATAGGAAACTGTGGAATGGAAGACCAGCCCTGTGCAATAGCCTGCTGTGAATTTCTTTCATCTCCTCTTGGTTTGGACTGCAGGAAATAAATCCCTGTCTGGCTGCTACCTCGACCTTGCCAGGAGTTGCTGACCAAGAGCTGGGGAGCTTGGAAACCCTTCAGCTTTTCACACGGAGACTTTGGAAGAGTTTCTACAGATGGAGCTTTGTGACTGGTTCTTTTTTATGAGGAAAGGGTTAAAATTTAACAAAATGACTTTTTCAGATCTGTCAAACTTTTGTCTTTCAAGGTGCTATTACATTGACTACTGAAGCAGCCTTTGGAATCGTGTTTTCTGTACATAGACGTCACCTTTGTGAAGTTTTCTATGAATGAGCATTATTAAAAAAAAAAGCAAGCAAAAATAGGAAAATGAAAGTTTCCACAAAACATTTTTCTAGATTATGGCTTTAAAACAGAAAATAAATTAAATCCTCCCCCCCTCACCCCCAAACGAATTGTGACTGATGTTACAGCGGGGAGAGGGAGAGCAAGAGCAGATGTCCTGGAATGTTCTGGGTTCTTCTTTTGTAAAGAAACACTATCTTTGTAAGCTGGGGAAGGTGGGGGAAGAAATGTTCACTGCTGGGGTGTTTCTGCCATTGGCTCTCTGCACGCCCTGGGCTGGATGTTGGCATCGCTGCCACGTCCCCAGGGAGGGGCTTAGGGAAGAAATGGCCAGGTTTGGGTCATTCCTGTCATCTTCCTTCCCCATCTTTGCCATCACAGTTGCTTTCTAGTTCAGGATCAGCATGGCTTTGAGTTCCAGTGTGCCACCCTGGTTTGGCAGTGTTCTGTTGCTGCTTGTGTTAGCTCCCCACGAGCCAGAGGCTCCCGGCAGCACTTCTCCCTTAGCACTTATCCTTTCTCTTTCCTTTGTCTCTTTATTTTTTAATTTTTTTTTTGAGTTGTGCTCCTTACAGTGTGAGAATCATTCCATGACAGAAGCTTGGGAGGTGTTTGTATGTTTTTCTTTTATCCTATTAAAGAAGAAATTCCTCAAACATCTGATTGTCGTGACATCCTTTCCTTAAGCAAAGACTGAGCCTGTGAGTTGCTCCTGGGGAAGAGGAGTGCAAGCCCTGCCTGTGATGGACTCAGCTCACTGAGGACTGAAGGAGCATTAAAGGCAGACCCCAACCCTGAAGTGCTGAGTGGGCAGCTCCCAGCTGGACCTTTGGGAATCCCCCGGGGCTGAAGAGCTGCTTGGGAAGGAGCCTGATCCAAACCCTGCTGGAGTCACTGCAAAGTCTTCCACTCTCCTTGGAGGAGCTGAGTCAGTGCAGAGGGAGAGAAGGAGGCAGGGCTGGTGCTGAGCTGGGCAGAGCTGGGGGGGTTCAGGTGCAGGGGGAGAGCAGAGGGCACCCGGACCCTCCCTCCACCCCCAGCAACCTGCAATGCTGCACTGCAATCTTTTCCACTTAATTCCCTGAAATGAGTGGATGGAGAGAGACAACATTCTTGTTTTGATTATTATTTGTAAGCCCCTTTGCAAGGTGGCCGTTGTTCTGGGGAGAGGCTGTTAAGCAACGCTCTGGCTGCATCTTTAAGGGAATAAGTGGGAAGGATTTGTGGGCTAGCAGATGGTAGATTAGCATCTTAAGAGACTCCATGGGTATTAAACTGTCCTAGTGAAAGAGTGGAGATAGAATAAAGCAATTTAATTCCTTTTTTACTTTGGTTTTGTTCTCCCTTGAGGACTGGAGGTCCCATCCCTCCTCCTGCCTCTGCTCCGGGTCCTTTTTGTGTGCGTGGCTGAGCGTGCGTGGTTGTAAGGCCTTGAAAACAGGGTTCTGCTTTTGGGTTTTTTTTTATTTCTGAGTTTTTGACGTTTTCAGTAGATGTCTCCACGAATAAAACCAAACTGAGACTAATAAAAGTTTAAAAAATTGGCAAGGTTCTCCCAGCCTCGGTTGTTCCTCCCACAGAGCTGTCTCCTGTCGGTTGAAATGTGATTAAATAGAAAACTTGCTGTATAAAAGACTAAGAATGTTGCCAGGCCACGAGAGAAATATTTAAAACAATTGAAAGAGAAATTTAACCAGCAGAGGAATTTTGTTGGAGGTGGGAGGGAAGGGTGGGATGGGATGAGTGGTTGTGAGCGACGGGGAATTTCCTCTGCATGTTCGAGTCCTGCATAGCTGTACCATGTGTAGTACCTTCCCCAAATACTATTTATATTGTAAAAACACAAGTGTGTTCCCTCACCCCATATTCAGATGCTGAGTTATGTTAAACATGGACTTGGAACTGTCAAATGCCCTTCCTTGGTGCAAGGCTTTTCTCTCTTTTTGTTGATTTTTAAATCCCTCATTTTGCTTTAGGAATGACTTGTGCACATTCAGGATGGTGGCCGTGCTGATGGCCCCTATTGAAAGGAAAAGAGGAAATGCACATTCCTACCCCTTCCTCCAGTGAAATATATTTGTGTCTGATTATGTGCTATTAAAATAATGATTTTTTTTCTTTTTCCCCCTAGATTAAGGCTGTGATGTATTTTTTGCCTATTTTTTTCTCTGCCTCTAGGTTCAAAATGAATTAAAAGCTGTTGAGCATTTCAGAATGACACTTTCTGGGGGGTTGAAGTCTCTTCATTTCTAAGTTTAAGGTCTTGTGCAGCAGGAGGTCATTGAGCCTCCTCAAACAGCATCTCCCTGAACTTCATTTAAACACCTTTAATTTCCCACCCAGAGCTTTCAGGTCATCTCTCATTCCTTGTCCCAAGAGTGACTGTGCTGCCACAGGCACACACAAAAAAAAGCAGTTTTGGCACAATCCTGAGACTTCAATGAGCTGGAGCTGTTGACACAGAATTATTTGGCAGCTTTGGTAGCAGAGGAAGAGAAGTCCTTGGGTAACTTGCTCACCAATAGAAAATCACTGGGAGTTATTTATTCTGCATGGGAGCAGCAAAACAATTAAATTTTTGGTTTCCAACGGGGGAAATGTAAAGGTCACTGTGCAAACACTGTTTGGAATTGCACAGCGACCACAGTTTAACCACTTTTCCTGTGGAACAAACAGGATTTTGGCTCTGTCTCAGCACAGTTCACTTTGGCTTACCTCTCCAGCCAGCCTTGCCATTTCAGATGCCAGCTGCTAATATCCCCTAGCAAAGGAGCCAGCCTGCCTCTGAAGCAGGAGTGATCCCCTCCCCTGTGCCCCAGAGCGGGGTTTAAAAATAAAGAAATGGCCAGACCCTCTGCTCATCTGCTTCATTTCACTGGAGCCATCTCTGGAAAATGCAGCAAATGGTCTTTGCTCAGGAGGGAATGGTCAGTGATCCGGGCCAGGAAGCTGCTGCCTGAACAAAGGATGCTCCCTTTATCCAGGGATTCATCTGCCTGAACGAGGAGATGAACCTGAGCTGATTGCAGGTGCACGGGGCTCCCTGGGCACTTCTCTCCCTGGAGAAGCCACGAGGTGTGGGAAGAGCTCTGGTGCAAGTGTGAATTCCTCGTGCTCTGCTCAGAGCTGAGGTTTCCTTCCCTTGTCACCTGGAGAGCTCAGAGCCACTCAGTGCCTGGTTAATCTGGGATTCAGCTGGGACTGGAATTAACTCTGCAATCCAGGAGCTTTGTGGCCTGCCTTGGGTGATTAGTGTGAGATTTTTGTCAGCACCAAGTGAAAAATCTGCCTGAGCACAACTTTGTGAGGTCCCTGGGATGGGTCTGGGCTCCTGGAGCAATTTCTCATCACATTTTTCACTAATTCAGCTTAGAGACAATTGGCTGCTTGTTAAAAGCTGCAATTTCTCTCACTCCTGTGCTACTCCCAAACCGAGGGCTTGGTCCATTCTGTCCAGATAAATTTCCCTGCAGTTTTTCTCAGCAGTGAGGGATGTCCTTGGGTGTTTTCCTGCCTCCAGGGGTTTGTGCTCAGAGCTGGGGGTGACACGGGGCTGTGCCCTGAGCAGCAGCAGTGCCAGGCCCTGGCACAGGTGCCCAGAGCTGCCCTGGAGTGCCCAAGGCCAGGCTGGGCAGGGCTTGGGGCCCCTGGCACAGGGGAGGGTCCCTGCCATGGCAGGGGTGCAGTGATGAGACACAAAATTTGTTGAAATTCCATTTTTCTCCTGGTTTTCCTCTCCTGGAGAGAGCTGAGCAAAAGCCACCCCTGAGCTGAGAAGTTTGTGTTGTGCCAAAAGTGAAAAATTCCTCCTGAAATCCTCGGGCTCAGTCGGGGTGTGAGGGCACAGGGAGCTCGGGCTGGGAGCTGCTGTGGCACAGGGTGGCACAGGATGGCAGAGGGTGGCACAGGGGTGACACAGGAGTGGCACGGGGGTGGCACAAGGGTGGCACAGGGGTGACAACACTTCTGGCACTGCACCTGGGACCTGCCAGCCTGGAACAGGGATCAGCCGTGTCCTGCTGTAGCTTCCCAGCACTGATGTTCCTTTCCCTTTACCCTTTTCTCTTTTCCTTTTTCCCTTTCTCCCTTTTCCCTGTTCCCCTTTCCCTCTTCCCTTCTCCCTTTTCCCCTTTTCCCTTCTCCCTTTTCCTTTTCCCTTTCCCTGTTCCCATTTCCCAGTTTCCTTTTCCCTTTTCCCTGTTCCTTTCTCCCTGTTCCCTTTTCCCTTTTCATTTTCCCTTTTCCCTTTTCCCTTTTCCTGTTCCCATTTCCCAGTTTCTTTTCCCTTTTCCCTTTTCCCTTTTCCCTTTTCCCTTTTCCCTTTTCCCTTTTCCCTTTTCCCTTTCCCTTTTCCCTGCTCCTTTCTCCCTTTCCCTTTCCCTTTCCCTGCAGTGCAGTCTCTCTGTGCCACTTCCCAGGCCCATGGTTATAATCTGGTTTTCTCCTTCCATCCTCCTCCTCCTCATTTTTATGTCAGTGCTCCGTGGGGGAAGTTTTCCCTTTTGTACAGCTTTGCTTTCAGTTTAACAGCTCTGCTTTCCTGCAGAAATTGCAAATAGTCTCTCCCAGCTGCTTTGTTCCTGCTCCGTGTTCCTTTCTTTCCTCAGGATTTGGCTTCACTGTGTTGAGAGAAGGAGGAGGAAAATTCCTTCCCTGAGCAGGCTCCAGTTCAAGGAGCTCCTGCTGTTTCCCGTGGGGCTTCCTCCAGTCCAGAGCAAGGAAAACAAATTAAAACCAAGGTGGTGGAACCCACCAGAATATTTTACACTTATTTTGGTGATTCATTAACTCCAGAGTAGTTTGGGGAAATTCATGGCGTTGTGTTTTTGTGTTTTTGGAGCATCCTGTGTGCATAATTTGGGGTCAGATTAATTCCTGTGTGATAAAGGAATAAAAACCCACAATGAAGTCAGGCTTGTGCCCTGGAAATGGTTTCCAGTCTTTGCTAGAACACATTGAAACAAGATAATGGGAAAAATAATGGGAAATGTGGTTTGCTGTGTAATCTCTGGCCTCTGGAGATTTCATTTTGGTGACTCAGCAGACACAGAAATGAAAACTTGAGGCATTTGGCCACTGCCAAGGTCGTGGTCGTTGCTCTTGCAGCAGGATTTGAAGTTTCACAACAAATTTGGTGCAAAAAGAAAGAGAATTCCAAGGTGCTGCTGGCAGCTGCCTGCACGCAGGGGCGTGGGCCTGCAGTGAGATAGGAACGGGTGCAATTATTCCAAGAGCTGAATTTCTTTGGGGTGATTGTTTGTTTCCAAGTCAGCTCTGCCCTGCCCAGCACTTCCAAAGAGGGGGATTAAAACAAACCAGGGAGGTTTTTTGGGGTCCGTCTCAGGCGTTGTGAGCTGAGGTGTGGAAGCACCTTTGGCACAGCTCCAGCATCCCCTCCCTCCCCAGGGAGGGCTCAGGGGGCCCAGGCAGGGACAGAGGCACAGCCAGGAGAGGGAGGAGGCTCTGGGGGCTGTTCTGGAGTTCTGGGGCTGTTCTGGAGCTGTGGGAGCTGTTCTGGAGCCTGGCAGGGGATGCTGCTCTGCTCCCTCCATTTTCAGGGATGCTCTGCTCCCTCCATTTTTCAGGGATGCTCTGCTCCCTCCATTTTCAGGGATGCTCTGCTCCCTCCATTTTCAGGGATGCTCTGCTCCCTCCA